GTCATGTCATTATCCTCCCCTCTCCCTCTTTCTTCTTCTAAGCTTTCCAGGGGGCAAAGTTATCAAGTGGCAGCTCGGGAGACAAAAGAAAGATGGTGTGTGTGTGTGTGTGTGTGTGTGTGTGTGTGTGTGTGTGTGTGTGTGTGTGTGTGTGTGTGTGTGTGTGTGATGCTTATACACTTCTCAAGGCTGCTGCAATTAATTGTGAAGGTGGCGGCCTAGCCAGTCAGCCAGCCTCTATTGCCCCCATCAGGTTGGATATAGGAGGTGCAGGGCCAAGATCTAAGAGCTCAAGATGAGTCGTGACAGGTGATGGCTTAGTCCAGGAAGTGTGGCTGAATTTGGGCAGAAGTTGCACTATCTGCTTTTATGGTGGCCACCTCAGCAATGCTGCCCTTCATAATGAAAACAAGCGCACCTCTTAATTATCACTGATAGCAACAAGCTGCCTTCTCGAGGACAGGCTGTCAGTCACTCCACACGAGAATGTATTTCTATAAGCGTTAATGTCAAGTGTCACCCAAAGCTTCTGTTAACACTCTAAACATGGTCTCTCCTTAAGAAGGTAAGTGTTAGCAATACTCTCCTCCCTCTCCTCCTCTCTTGTGGGATGCAGAGACTATCAGTGGTGATGATAAGACGCATGATAATGGATAAGAGGTTTGTATGCGTCTGAGGATATGACGTAACCGCACTGAGCCCCCCTCAGACACACTCACAGAGCACAACTTGAGATAATCTGGTAGACGGTGGATAGAATAATGGCCGAGGATCTCACTCACACACACTTGCATGTCCCAGAGGAAGCTGCATTCAATGGAAAAGAGTGTGACCTATGACCCACAGTGATGAAAGACTGCTGTTGACAGATATAGTATACCTGTGAGAGTTCTCTGTGTTTGGCTTGTCTGCGGGGGTTTTGTTTCGTAGACCACAGCCTGGACCAATTCACACATTCTCCTCTGGTTTAAAAACTCGGCTCCAACGGTTCGCTTTCGGTATCGATACAAACAGCTCTGCCGTTGGATAAACATGTATTCAAGCACATGTGAATCACGTAGACGCGTACACGGGGGGCATGAGCACGCATCGCACATCCACACAATGCGCTCAGTGTGCTGTGTGTCTCTCACAGGGGTACATTTTCTCTCAGGGCAGAGTGTAGGGAAGGAGGGGCAGATTGAGCAGCAGTGCTGTGAGTGAAACCGGAGCTGCCTGAGGAATGCAGGGGGTGTTTTGGGAGGACTGGAGAGTGGAGTTTAGTGGGTGAAGGTGGAGGTGGGGGGGTGGTGACTCGAGGGGTTGGATGGGTGATTAGGGGGTGACAGCTGAGTGCTGACCCCTCTATAATGACAAATCATCTGGCAGGTGTGTGGTTCTGTACAACACCCCCCCCCTCACCCCCCCAAACTCCCATCATTCCCAGGCCAGGAATCCTCAACTGCTGCTGCCGGAGCAAAGCGCTAAAGGAAGGCTTCCGGACATTCACACCGTCGCCCTGCAGACTCATGACTTGTCTTTTAGAAGTACGCAGTAGCCTGTCCGCTGCCCTCTTTGTGTATTCAACACACAAAGTTTAAGCTCCATCTCTTTAAGAAACATAGCTAATGAGGCTCCAGTCCTTGGAGCAAGACGGGGTAGAGTTTATTGATTTATCTGTAGATGTTATTTCTTTTTCCCCCCCCTTCCAGTGTCGGTTCAGCTGAATACAGAGTTTATCTCCCGGGCAGCCTGAAAGTCATTGTACCCTGTTTGGGCCGTGATTCACGTTGACGACAGGCTAAATCCAGAAAGCGTCTGATCTTTGGTGCTGTAAAAACAAGTGGTGACCCCGGATCAGCGATAGGTCTGTAAAATCAGACAGGTGTCAGTCTGAGCTCTGCTCTCAGGTCAGTAGTGTAGGAAGAAGTCAAGACTTGAGAATTTCATGTATGTAGGAGCCTGTTTCGCTCCTTAAACTTGCCGCATGGTAAACAAGAATGTATGAAAGCAGCCAAACCACACAGAGTGGTCTGCACTGAGCATTGTTTAAGGCTGATTCAGATTGCTCTTCTGTCATGTCCGCCTTGTGGTTTGTATGTTGATTAAGTGTCTGCTTGGCAAAATAGTCACTGTGGCATTGCAGGCCTCTTTTCTTTTCCATCAAGCTCAGGCTTCCACACATCTCCTCTTAATCTAATTCTAGCCAACACATGGAGTCTAGACAAGAGGCCCAGCGCAGCCTGCACCTCCTTGTAGTATCTGTAGTTTTTCCCCTTCAGGGTCCCAGCTTCGCAGCCATTTCCCTGAAGAACCCCAACACCCTTCGCTCGGGAGCGGCGTCCGTGATCCAAACGCAAAGAGGAGCCACACATTCTCAGCTGGAAATCGCGCGGAAACCCGCCGGAACATTTCACCACTTATCTTTTCACTTTGAATTAGAGATGGGGCTCTGCAGTGTTTTCCAGGCAGCAGGAGTGGAGAATACTTTTTCGGGGTCCCGTCAGGAAAGCCTCTGATGGTTATTAGCATTAGCAGGAGACATTGCCCAGGTATTCAGAGCTCCAGACCCAAGTGGAAAAAAAGCACTGTTAACTCGGAACTGTTTTGATCCAACCGCACATGGCTTCTTAAAGCAAAGGGTAGCAGCAGATGGTGAGAGTCAGGGGTTGAAAAATAATGCAAGCACTTATCAGCTGTTATGCTTTTGTGAATGCTAAAAGAAATCAAGTAATCTTGCTGTGTGAGAAATCTGCAAAAGCTCCACCTTTTTATGTAAATTATACTCTTAGACTTGTATATGAGGGAGTTTTCCATATGGGGAATATTACAGTATTGTTTACTTAAAGTCATGATACTTTTGTTGGAGAAAATAACACACATCACTCCTTGGAGTCAAACCTCGACCCGACCCCCCTTTACATATTCCCTTGTGACAACTGCAGTCCTAACACTCACACTGTGTCATACTGTGTCATTCAGTCGTCTTCATCACCTGCACCCGTCCTTTCCCGCCTCCCCCTTAGCGACATAATGGGCGAGCCCAAAGTGACCCATATTTACCCAATAATACGAAGCTTTGAAAAGACCCATATCGAGTTGCAGCTAATGCTCCAGTGGGGCCCGGAGAGTGAAAGATGTTACCGGCCGAAACGGCTTGGGTTTCAGCGCCCTGCGAAACAAAAGGCAGTCCAGTCCTCGGAGAGAGAGGGGGGGGAGCTGATGGGGTGAAGGAGCATTGGTGCACACAGTGTAGCAGTAGTGTTCAGAGGGGAGCAAAGCGTCTATTTCACAAGTAATTTTTTTTTTCGTAAGTTGGTGTTTGGCTAAAAAAAAAAAAGAAAAAAGCATTCTTGTTGTTGCACGTCTTCTGTTGCTGGTCTGTCCTGTCAAGTACAGTCATGTGAAGTTTATCTTTCAGCTTCACTTACATCTAGCCTTTATGGGAAGATGCGGATATTATCCGCCGAGTTAATGGAGCAGAACTGAACTAACCTCGGGTGTTAGGGGTGAGCGGAGGGCAGGCAGGGTTAGTTTAAGAGAAGAGGGTTTGTGATGATGATACCCAAAGGTGATTTCCCCCCATATCCTCCCCTCCTTCCTCTTCCCAACCCCCTCAACTACACTCTTCCTCCCTCTCCTTCATGTTCTCTTTCTGCGCTCTCTCCCTCTCTCCCTCCTTAGGGGCAGGCAGGTATAAAGTTACACAGAGCTCTCAGCTTTCTTGGAAGGAATGACCACATGAGTAGCTTGGGGATTAGATTAGCAGGAAGAGCAGACTTAGCCAGGCTGTAAATAGCCCACTTTTTTCACCATTAAAAAGGCCCAGTACAATATAATCAATAGATAGCACTCATCTGATGCAGGAAGCCATATGAGAAGACCTCCCTCAAGTGCTCTGAAGGACAGGCTACAGCAGCTTGGGCCTAATGAAGTTATTATTAATCACTGGGCCTCCTGTTTTGAACTTGTGTGCCATTTCTCTAGTGGTCTTTGTGTGCACCGTCTGGTTGACATTTTGTGCTGTCCTCCTTGTTATTTTCACTCTGTTGTGAGGTGTTTGTGTTTTTAATGTCACAGACATGCTACCAAGCATGTTTCACCTTCATTTTCAATGTTTTTATTGGGTTCTTAGGAACAACAGAAAGCAAAATCCGATCTATGCAGCGAGTGTTATCGCCAACACCTTTTCCCCCCTCATCCATCTCTCATTCACATACACCTCGGCTCTGTCAGTCTCTCTGAGCCTCCCTGCAGGTGTTAGGTTTCTCTGTAAAGCAGCCTGAATGAGCATGGAAATCAGAGTGCTGTCTGTGCTCTTGATTCACTTTTCACTTTGAAGTTTCCCGAGCTCACAGGAACAGGGGCCACAAAGCCAGACTCGTGTGAGGGCTTTAGACGCCTCTGCCAGGACTATGGCAGGACGGGGGGGCGTGAGAGGTTTGGGCAGTATTGATGGGCAAGGCTACGTGTTGTCTGGATCGCTGGCGGCCTTTGCTTTTTTTTGCTTTGTAGTAACACGAAAGAGAAAACGGTACGGCTCGCTTTTTAAGCGCACAATACACACTTGAGAAATTACTCGACTGGGAAGGGACGGAGCACTTAAGTAGAGGGGCAGCTATCACTGTGACTGTTTTTTCTGCCCGTGCACAATTGTGAAAATAAACAGTGACGTTCGCGTTTGCTTAAGATCCCCCCAAAGGAGGTTTGGCAGGATACATCTGTAAGCACTTAGAAAAAATAAAAACGGCTATAATACTTTAATAGAGCCATGTCGGAGAGACTTTTAGGCACAAGGTGTTCCACTGTCGGTGTATGTCTACGTCCGTCTTCACTGATCTCATCAAAGGGCCAAAGGGTACCAGAGAGAAGGAAGGGAAAAAACCTTCAAAAATAAACTTAAACTCAGGCTACATTCGCAGGAAGAGTCTTTAAAAGCAGCCTTCGGGGTGCCAGCCAGGCAGATTATTTCTAACATATCCAACCTGCGTTACTCAGCAGAGCTTTCTATTTGTTCTCAGGTATCTGAATCACGTGCGGGCTGCCGTGACTCAGGACACAGCTGGAGGATACACCTCAGGTTTGGCGTGTTATCGCGCCATCCAGGACGCGTTCAGCGGGCTGTTCCCTCTGAGAGGCTGAAGAAGCTGCTCCAGTTAGAAATGTGACTGAAAAGACCTTAAATATTGCACTACTACCACTACGCTGCTGTGGGTGGGGAGTGCTCTGACTTATATGTATGTTGTATGTAACTTTTTAAATTTTGTGCAAACTTTATTTTTTAAATAAATGGCAATGAACACTGAGGTTTTGTCTATCATTTTGCAGATTTATTTTAAAATTAAACGCAGGCCAGAATTTAAAAAAAGAAAATGCAAATGACTTAGTCACAAAGCTGAGCCGTGACTTCTTCAAATAAACAATATTTAAGTGCAAAAAATAAAGTCGGCTCCTACGCTGATCCTCATGGTCCTCATTGTGCAAAGTCGATATTTATCCTTACGTTGCATTTGTAGTTTCTTCACACTTCTGTCTCTTTGAGGCTGGCTCTTCAATTTGTTCTGTAGACAAACAGAAAAAAGCATCATGGAAACCATCTCTGTGCCAACGTTGAAAATTAGCTCTGGAATTTCAGCACATATAACAGCGCAAACACAGGTATTTAGTATTTAGTATTTATTGTCATTGTCAAGAACAATGAAATTGCGTTTGGGGCTTCCATACAACCCAAAAAAAGAAGAAAATAATAAATACCCCTTAAAACCCAAGTGTACATATTTAACCCAGTGTGACTCCAATGCAATAAGACAATCCTTAGCAATAATGTTCGTAGAAATTCAGACAAAGACCTGAGAAACATGACAAAATACAACAATGCAACCCATTCAATATTAATGTACTGTGAGATATGATATCAGATATGATAGTTATCTATTTAAGAAAGGGGGGGGGGGGGCAGGAGGGGGAAGCGAATAAAGATATGATGCACCAATGCAGACCAGTTCATTGCTATTAAGAAGTTGGATATGGTTATTGTCCGTGAGAGGGGGGCAGAGAGTTCAGGTATTCATGCTTTACTTTTAATTGTGTCTAAATTATGGTCACAGAAATCATCCCCATGCATGCAAAATTCACACTATGGGCTAAGTAATGTCTAAGTAAAGTGGGAACTTAAAATGTTATGACAGAAAACTGAGGAAACATGCTTTTCTCTTGTTTATTTTCAATTCCTCTTCTTCCTACATTTATGGGATGTTTGAGCCTTTTCTTTTGGAAAAGACCTCATAAGAAGGAGTGATTCCTTACCTGACTCTTCAGCATCACTTCCAAAGAGGATATCTTTAGGGAGTGTGAACCTTACACACATCATATCTTTGTTAGGAGCCACGTTGCGCACAAAATGCACAGAGCATCGGTTCTTCAGAGGGAATCCGAGGCTGCGGGAAGCTCTCTCCACCACATCTGTGTCAGGGTCATCATCTTTGGAGAAGCCGTAGCAGTGCACTGTAGGTAGGTTCTCGTCACAAGGAGGCTCCTGGTGGTGCAGGAGGCCCCTGAACGCATCCAGGAAGTCCAGAGCTAAGGCAGGCAGGTTCATCACCACATGAATGGCAGATGTTCCCCTCATCAGTACAGGCAGCTCCTGCTTTAAAGGTCCCCGGATGAACGCCCTGCCGTCCAGATTGAAGGCTCTGACTTTGCTCTCCACCTTGTTGAGTTTGCAGTTATGCTGCAGCCATCGGTAGGACTCTGGGTTGAGGTCGTTGGCTAAGATGCTGGCACCTAAGCGAGCAGCTGGGATGGCGAAGGGTCCGACGCCAGCGAAGATGTCAAACACAGTGTCGCCACGTTTGACGAGCTGCACCACCCGCTGGTGTTCTGTGCTCAGCCGAGGGTTCCAGTACACGCGAGAGAAATCAAACTCGTACGTCACCCCGTTTTCTTTCACCTGGATCGGGATCAGGACAGCGATTAGCCTGTGCACTGAACATATGTAATAACAAGTGTGAAACAGAGGGCTCTGTGGAACTACACATACTTTGGCGACCATGTTCTCCTCTCCAGCCAGCACTTCCATCTTAAAGTTGCGGTAAGTGGAATCGATTATGTTCGTCTTATTGACCACACAGGTGACACCAGGATTTTTGTCCATGATCACCTGACCTGCAAGAGAAGGCACAGAAAAGAAGCCTTACTGTAAATTTGGAAATGATGGGTGATCCCAGCTGATCCACTGTTTCTGTTAGCTGTATTTAGTCAGATGTACTTGTCATTTTGACATTTTAAGACACAGGTAAGTTTGGGTGACACATTAAAAAAAATAAAGTGAATAAATAAGCAGAAAGACGTGTAGATACTTCAGTTTGTAATAAAACCTCCCGCTGTCCAGGCAGCAGCCTCTCACCTATGAGCTTCTTGTATGTGAGCTGGTGGTCCCTCAGGTTCATGTGTGCGATGTGGCCCACCCGACTGAACGCAGAGGTCACATCCTGACCTTGGGGAAGCACAGCCTCCAGCACTTCTTCGCTCTTCAGGTTGTCATAGGTCAGCTTCAGCTCATAGTAGTGGAGCTCCTCACTGACACTGAACGACCTCAGAGCCTCAGCTTCAGTCTCACTGAAGGAGCTCGGCGAGGAGACTCTGCGAGGGTCCAACAGGACCAAGCGGAAGTCACTACTCTGCTCTTTGTCCTGAACCACCCTGGGCACACCAGGGCGCTGGATGCTCGACTTTTTTAGGCTTTTCACTACTTTGTTTAAGACCCCAATGGGCACCCGTAGAGCAGGGACTGTAATAGTCTGTGTGAAGGCGTCTTTGTCCAGAGAGGTCATACCCCGGACCTCTGGAGGGGGTCGGTACAGTTTAGGCTCCATTATGGGCTTCACAGCCAAGCAAGGATACGCTGCAGAGCAAAAGCAGCGGTGCACAGTGGCAGGATTCAGGCTCCTTTGAGTTTGTGCAGATACAAAGATCCTGCCGAGAAACCTACGAACATAATAACGCCGTAATAATCAGGCAGAAAAGAAAAAACATTCAAATTATCAGAACAAAGCTTAAAACAAAAGTATACAATTAACCACTAACGATAAACCAGAACCAGACAGCTCACCTCAACATCCTCCGATCGCAGGCATGCTTGAACTACGTCATAAGACGTCGACCACCGTCGAGCGGTGATTGGTCAAGCGAGCAGCGACTCGCATTTTGATTGCACGGTGTAATTTCTGACGTGTAGAACGCGACGGAAATAAGAGGCACGTGACTCAACATCAACAGTGATCAGCTGACAAGTTTAGAGGAGGAGAGTTTGAGATGGTATCGTAACTCTGCGGCTCCCCGTCTCCTCTCAATCTGCGAGGGTTTTTTTTTTTTTACACTAATAAATTTGTTTCCCGCTTCGGTTCCTCACCCACAATGAGCATCAACAACGATGTGGACGTGGTCCGTGAACGCACCGCCCAGGACACCGAAGAGACTGCACCTCTGTTACAGGTAAAACAACAGGCGAAGACCCAAAAGTGAAACTGCGCTGAATGACTTGCTGACCTAAAATCTACAGTCTGAGACAGAAAATAAATGTGTTTCTGTCACAAGGAAGAATTTATGTGTTTTATATAACTTTATTTATCCAAGAGACATTTGACAAATGATTTTTTTTTTCTTCAAATCTGGCGAAGGGGTAGCAATAATGGCAACAAATCTAAAATCACAGTTCAGTAAACATATTTTAAATGGTCCAAATTTAAAAAAATAAAAGTCAAACATCAACAGTGACTTTTTTTGTTTAATTTAATAATACACTGTGAATTACAGCAGTTAAAATGGCTGGTTTTTGTAGTGTTGTCAGTAAATCAGGCTGTCAAAATGTCCAGGAAAAATATCACGTGCTTGTTTTGAACTGCTTGTTCATCTGTTTTCTGCCTGTGTCAGCACTTGCAGTGAAAGTACACCCAACACCAGAACCTCTCTTTCTTCTTCTTTTGCCCCCCTCTCATGCTAATCTCTAACTTTGTTTCCTTTGGGCTTTGTCTTTTTTTTGCTAGTAAATTATGTCCAAAATTGAAGTAGACAAATATATGATTTTTTTTTTTTTAATATACTGGCATTATTTCAGTATTTCACTGGTTAAAAATCCAAAGGACCAGACAGGGCACAAGAGAGGTGAACAAGAGAGTGCTTGGAGACAAGTGACCAGGATGGACAGGATTAGAAAGGAGTACATCACAGGGACAAAGTCGGGACTGTTTGGAGGGAGGGATAGTGGCTATATTAGACCAAGGATATTGAAGATGGAGCTGCCAGGCAAAAGGGAAAGAGGAAGACCTCAGAGGAGACTATGGATGTAGTCAAGGACAGGAAGAGGGTTGGTGTGAAAGAGAAGCGTGATTTAATTACATACCATGGTTTCACAGTTAAATGGACAATTCTACTGTCAGTCCCTCATTTGAGGATGTTGTTGTGGTTATATTAAATCAGTTGTCCACATACACGCTGACAGACTGCTCAAAGCTGCTGATGAATCCTGCAAAAACTCTGCAGAAACCAAAGTGTCTCCATCTGCACCTCTTCAGAATGTGCCATTTTAATAGTGTGCAGGGGGAAATGGGGGAAAAACAACAACAAACCAAATTCATATTTCAGCCTTTGAACCACTTATTCTTTGATTTGATGTCAGACTAGATTAATTTAATGTTGTTTGCTGAAGCTACTTGAAGCTAAAACAGTGCACTGATAATGCAGATAAAGACTTTATTGTGACACAGAGACTATTTCAGTGCCCACTTAAGTGTTTAGAATTTTAACTTCAGACAAAAACTTTTTGACCTCACCTGTATTACAGCATTATATTAAAAATGACTGTTACAGTCATTTTTAAAACATCAGTAATGTATGTTTAGAGAGTTTAGAAGTTTTAGCTTGTCTGTCTAAAGGTAATGAGAGACTCTTTCTAGCTTGATTTTGTTAGTTTATGTGGCTGATTTCAGTGAGCAATATAGAGTTACAGTTCAAATCTAAGCAAGACATAGTGTGTGGTGTGTGTTGTTGATTCAGTGAGAGTATGTGAGGGTTACCATAAATTTTGTCATCATGGTGTGAACATGCGGCTCAATCTGGACGTACACATGTTTGCAAAGTACTGAAAACAACATGTTCTCCCTCCTTTGGCTACTCTGTTTAGGGGTCACCACAGCAGATCATTTGCCTCGGTCTCAGCCTATCCTTAGCATCTTCCTCTGTCACACCAACCCTCTGCATGATCTCCTTGAATAGATCCATCAACAATCTGTGTGGTCTTTCTTTTTTCTCCTGCCTGACAGCTCCATCTTCAACATTCCTTGTCCAATATATCCACTCTCCCTCCTCTGCACGTCCAAACCAACTCAGCTTTGGCTCTCTAACTTTGTCTCCAAACATCCATCACAGTGGTTTGATTTCTTCTTGTTTTGCTTCAAACTGTGTTGAATTGTACCCTGTGCAAGCTGGGATAAGCTTTACCTCAGTGTGCCATGCTTTACAATAAACTCCAGCTACTTTGTATTTTTATTCATTTGGGGTCTTAGTTCACTTCCTGTCTCTCAGTACTGTAACAGGGGGGACTGCAACAGCCTGAAGGTCAATCTAAGCTTGTTGTGACACTGACACAAGAGTTGCCACTCGTTCTGTCCAGGATATCCCCCATTAGAGAGGTCAAGCAGTTTGGGCAGCTCCCCTTATCCTGAGCTCAGGCAGCTGTCCCACAGCCAGCAGCTCAAATCCCTCTCCATCCATTCCCATTTCCATTCCCTGATCCTCCATGCCACTGCTGTGCTCTTTTCATGACATCCATCATCAGGGCAAGCCAGTTGTTCTTAATACTGTCATGAGTAATCTTCCTGAGGCTCTTACAAAAATAATCAGATTTCTTCTGCTGCATCTTTTTCTTCATGCTATTTACATTGTGTGTTATATGTGCAGGGAGCTGTGCTATCCAGAGCCAAAGGTGCCTCCTTCGCCTCCTCTGTGTTTAACCTGATGAATGCAATCATGGGCAGCGGCATACTGGGTCTAGCTTATGCCATGGCTAGCACTGGAATAGTTGGGTTTTGGTAAGAATCTTCTCGGTGCGTAAGGCAGAAAAATGCATGACTTGACCCCTGGTATCCCAGACGATATCTGGATTAGTTTGTTATAATTCCTATAGAGCATCTAAAACTGTGTCTCCCAGTGTTTATTTTTGCTTTACAATTTGATACGTGCTTGTAAAGATATGATGAGAAACGTTTTTTTCCAGTATCCTGTTGGTGCTGGTGTCCAGCCTGGCTGCGTACTCTATACACCTCCTGCTGAAGCTCTGTGACCAAACAGGTGGGTGGGATGCAGGGTAACACGTCTCTGTGGGTGTATCCAGGGGGCTTCATCCAGAGTTGTTACATTTAAACACCCTCACTTGATTTTTTTTCCCGTTCCATTTACTTATTATTTGCATCCTCATTGTGAGAAACTTCAGATGATGTTTAAATAATATTTTACAGGAGCAAAGAGAGGAGATAAAAACCAGATAATCCCATTTTTCCATGAAGAATTTTGTGATGTGATAGTCATCCTGACATCGTTTTCATGTCTGATTCTTCTTTTTTTCCCTCTTCTTCTTGGCTTTAGGTATCAATTCATATGAAGACCTCGGAGGGAAAGCCTTACAAAAACCAGGAAAAGTAAGTGTTGATTTTTGGATTGCTGCACATTTGCCCTGCCAAAAAGTTTTTACAAGTTTTTCCACCGTGACCAGAGAACTTGCTCACACTGACTGTCTTTTTAGGTTCTGGTTGGAATCGCTATTCTTATCCAAAATATCGGTGGTAAGTGAGCCCCCGGTTCAATGTGCAGTTACATACATCATTTCTGACATGCTGGACAGGAACTGATTTTTGTGGGTTTTTATAGGAGAAGGGTGGTGAAGAGGGTGAGGAGTGCTGCAGGGTCAGACTATGGTCAGTTTATTTTGGAGGTAGATAGCGCCTCCTGCTGGTGCCCAAATGGCTGGTGTTTTACAGCCACCCTCCTGTGTGGCTATTATCTCGATTCCCTGATAACCTCTGACCCTGCAGCCGCTGTCTCCTCCCCTGAGCCTGAAACATGACTTCTCCTCTAATTGATCGCTGATGGTAAACCCACTCCCACCGTCTGTGTGTGGAGTAGCCTAATGGGACCCCTCCCTTTATTTCCCCCACCCCCTCACTTCTCTCTCTCTCTTTCTCTTACTGTCATTCCTCAGCCACAAACCGTGCTTCCCAGACAGTCGAGAGCTAAGGTGATAGCTCCTCTGCAGTCATTAGTGGCACGGCTGAGTGGATTATTGCCGTGCCCTCTGGTATGTGTGCGGTTTTCCCAGCATGGGGGCAATATGTGTGAGAGTGTGAGAGCCAGCACTCCAGCATGCATCTGTCTATACCCCGGGCTCCTTTTATAAGAGTGCAATTAGCCTCACTCTGGGTAAACATTCATCTGCACTGCCAAAGGCTGATGGGCCAATTGACCTTAATTACTGACCAGCCCAGGGCTCTCACAGCCGGCTTCGGCCCTTGTCCTTAATGAAATGAAAGTGGCTCTGGCCTTTGTTGAGCACACTCTGCCGCTATTTGCTGACCACACACAGAAGGTTTAGGTCAACTTTTCTTGAAGTTTACATACGTACTTATTATTCTAATACGTTTTCTTACCACTTGGCAACGCTTTCTCTTCACTCAGGGTTTTTTTTTCCCCCTCCCTGCTTTTTTTTTAAAGATGCAAATACTGTCCCACCAGCAGTTTCCACAGATGTGGTGTTATACTTACAGTAACCAGCTGCATCGAACGAAACCATTGCATCATGTCTGCTGTGTGTGATCTCTGTCAGCATGTCTTTATTTGTCTGTGCCTTAAAACGATACATATAATATAAAAAAAACTTTCATGCTTTCTTTAAGTTGACGGATGAACTCTCCCAGGGTACGTTTTTGATTAATCCGCTAAAAAAAACCCCGCAGCCTCAGAGTAACATCTTATTGACAGATTTGAGCGCTTACATAAAATGTCTGCAGTTATTCTCAGAGAGGGAATGTCCGTGCGTCTGTGTGGGCCGAAGTGTTGCTGGGGGAATTTTCTTTCATAAACAAATACAGGATCTGGGGGATTAAGGCCAGGCTTATTTAACGGCAAGCGCAAGATCTGCCCTCTGAGGCAATAAGGGCCCAACTAACTCTGGCTAGCGTGGCTTCACAAATCTAAATCCCTTAACATTATCTCCCTTTATAACTGGCCACACACTGCATCTGAATACCAAACGTGCTCACTTCTGATGATGCTCTCTTCCCCCTTTCTTGCTTGCTTTCTTGTTTTTGGGGCTTCTAATACTCACAAAAAGTGACCCCCCCCCCCCCTCTCTCTCTCTGATTGGTTGCCTGTGCATACAGGGAAGTATCCTGTTTCCTAGTGAGGTGGAGAAAGGGGGAGAAGTACCTGGATTAGCGTCAGAGATCATTATTGTTAGCATTCCTCCCCCCTTCGCACTTATTCGTCATGGCTGCTACTCGCGGTCTCCAGCAGTTGGAAGTCCTGCATAATGTCCGCTCCTCTATGCCAAGGGCTTTGCCGGTGATCCCCTTGAGCTGCCTGCCCCACCCGTTTGCATTGGAGCCGTAGTAACCCCCCCCCCCCCCCCCCCCCCCCCCCCCCCCCCTTCCACCCTGCTATTTCCTCACACTGGAAAAACGCTCATCATCCTCACACAGCAGCTTATGATTGCTTGTGACAGCACACATTCATCTGCTGTTTTTATGATTTAGTAGCTTGGTGTGATTATGGGCTTTTTTTTCTTTCTTTTTTTTAAATAAACACTCAATTTCTGAACCCTTTCTGTTCTCTCGCTTCTCAGCCATGTCATCCTATTTGTTCATCTTGAAGTCGGAGCTTCCTGCAGCCATCAACAGCCTCCTGAGTGCAGACAGCCCAGGGTGGGTATATCCAGCGCTGTGAGCTCCCTCGTTTGCCAAAAAAGAAATTCAGCTCAAAATCTGTCACAGCTGCGGGTTGAACAAAGTCATTCTTTTGAATTAGCTGCACTGAGATAAAGAATGAGTCATTCCTGTTCCCATGATGTTGTAGATTATACCTTTTGGCCTTTTTTAAATAAGTCAAATTTGACACTTGTGTGCCACAAAGCTACACTGGAATTAGTCGGGCAATAAGAAGCGCATGAATAATGTCGGGGAAGCTCCCTCGCTAAGCCAAAATACACTGCTAATGTTTTCTCTGTCTGTCGTGTAGCGTGAGGCATGCCCACAGGAAATGTATTCCCGATACAAGAGCCATTCATCACCTATCAGCAGCAGCCAGTGCCTTTCATTGGTCTGCGTGGACATGCCTGCAGAGAAGTCCTTGGCAAAGAATGTAACTTCTATCACTTTATTATTGGCCACACTGGTTTAAGCAAGAGTTGTAGCTGCTCTCAGCCCTATCCGTCAACATCTGAATCTTCCACACACAGCTGCTTTGTATTAGCGCTCTCCTTTCACCCCCACCCCCCAAAATCTCTCACACATGTTCCCCGGAATCAGACTGATACAAGGGGATATCAGTTTTGCCATTCTAATTACAGCTCACTGCTGAGGGAAACAAAACATTTCTGTTAATGAGCGGCTTTGAGATGTTAACAGACGCGCACATTCGATTCCATCAAAGCCCAAATAAATGAGTTGTTTTATATTAAAACGCGTTTCTTTTATCTGGCTCATTTATCATAATACGGCAGAGCGAAAACAAAGTCACGCTCAATCTTTTCTGCGCTGCTGCTAACAGACTGCGTGTGTCCCGCTTCTCTCATCGCGTTTAAATTCAAGGCCAAAGACACGGACAGCTGTGGATCTGGGATTGTGCGTGGCCAGATTTATGCTGATGTTCGAGATTGACTCATTGGCAGTCGTGCTCCGGCTTTAACCGAGAGCTATCCTGCATCTCGTTATAGCGTGAAATGTTCCACATTTCATGGTTCTTCTAGGTATCCTGTGACTTTACAGTAAGCCTGCAGCCTCCAGAGATCCCTTTTTCTTCTTTTTTTACAAAAATGTCTGCAGGAATGAGAGCTTTTTTTTCTTTAATTTAAAGTGCTTCTTGTTGAAAAGTAATGTGCAAATAAACCGGCCTCGCCTTAATTAAGATTGGGTCGAATACTTTGTGTAAACTTGGCTTGGAGCAGACCTGATTGGACCAGAGAGAGTCCAGGTCAGAGCAGAGGTCTCGGTGACATCCAGTTACAGGGTAGAAACGGTGTAGATGCGGAGACAAATCCATCAGCGCCTATGGTAACGCCACAGCTGTGAAACTGCCAAACAGGGGTCAGTGGGTGTTGATGTTGTCAGAGCAGGTGCTGCTTGACTCTGGAAGCCCCCATAAAGAGCGGTGGAGCCAGTCCCTCACGACCCCCGCATACAACCCGCAGCAGAGAGCCGGGCAGCACCCACCTCGACCGACCCCGGTGGAGCCGGCATGCCTTCCACATGTGTCACCTCGAACGCCAAGCCCCCACCCCCCTCCTCCTCCTCATTTTACTCCCCGATCTCGAATGAACTGCCAAGGCTATCCCTCGGCAAAGGAAAATATTATTCCCCCTCTCCAAAAACCCAGCAAGTGAAATGTGGTCTCATCTGATGGAGCGACACAACGTTTGCATGTGAATTACATAATTGTTATGGTTTGCAAGAGCTAAAGCCTTTAATTCATACCACATGATGAATCTGTCGCTCTGTATTTGAGCACGAAATGGAGACAAATTTCCAGAGCCGGCCCATCTTAAGGCATGGAAGAATACTCTCTCCTATCCCTGACCTGATAATAAAACGTGGCTTAATTCAGTGTTAACCTGTAATAGTTCACTCCCTTGCTGTTTTTATTCATTCATTCATTTATTTATTTTCCAGAAATGCCTGGTATGAGGATGGCAGGCTGCTTCTGATCATAATCACACTTTGTGTCGTTCTACCTCTGTCATTGTTGCCTAAAATTGGTACGTTAAGCGATCCTCAAGCGTGTTATTTATTTTTTTCTTGTTTGGTTGCTTCTTGATAGATCTTTCTCCCGTCCTTACAGGCTTCCTGGGATACACTAGTAGTCTCGCCTTCTTATTCATGCTGTACTTTGCAGTTGTGGTAAGCTCTGACACGAACCTCCATACGTCCATCTGTTTGTTTGTTTTCATTTTTGACTTTATTTATTATCTCGTGTAGGTCGTGGTCAAGAAATGGTCCATCCCCTGCCCACTGCCCCACAATATAACGTCCCTTTCAGGTGCCTTCAAGGTAAGAACAGCATTTCTTTCAGCACATAAATACTCTTTTGAAAACAACACAGATCTGGTGCAGTATGGTCCAGAAGGTCACGGGCACGGGATTAAGAGGAAAGCCCAGGAGATTGAGCTTACTGATTGTGTCTGCACATGCTGATGAGGACCAGAGAAGGCTGCACAGATCTGTGTATGGTAACTGATGCTGTTCCTGAAGGACAGGAAGTCCAGATAACCTTGCCTGATCCTGGAAATCAACTCTGACCTTTAGGAATTAAACAGACCATACAAAAAACCTGCTATGAGCTATATTAGAATACTTGTTTCCCTTAAGCTTGAAATTAAGCTTTACTATTTGCAGCAGCACTGCTGAACTCATCTCTTTCTAGAAATAATCGGCTCACTTTTTCACCTTGTTTCTCCAGATATCAAATTCCTCTGACTCAGAGTGTTCTCCAAAACTCTTCGTCATCTCTAGTAAGGTACGTATAGGAAACCAGCGTTTTTCCTCGGCACTGAACACGCGGAGGCTTTGAGGTGGCAGTGAGAAGCTGTTAAACGTAGATCTGCTGCAGCTGCTCCACTGTGTTGACAGGTCACACTCTCACCTGTGAAGTGTAACCTGTACATGTGGAACTCAAGCACACTACGCAGCTGACACGTGACACCGATTTACACTTTCTCGACCGTTTCCTATAATGTGCTCACACGGCACTATAGATGTATACTTGCACATAGTATAAGATGCATTTAGTGGAAGAAAAGTTCAGAAAGTTCTCACATTTCGATTTGCATCCTCACTCTTAGCAGCCCAAGCAGTAATTACTACTATGAGGACCATACCTTGACCCACCTACCTCCTCCCTCCAGTGTAACTGAGTAGGTTGTTAATTTGTTAATGACGGCTGTGCTCTGACTGATGTGTGTGTGTGTGTGTGTGTTTGTGTTGCAGAGTGCCTATGCCATCCCCACCATGGCCTTCTCCTTTCTGTGCCACACGGCTGTCCTGCCGATCTACTGCGAACTGGATCGGTCAGCTTCGCGTTTATTTCTACTATTTTTGCCTGTTTTCTGTCATATGTATCCAGTTATGACAGAAAACAGCTGCTTATATTAAACACGGCAAAGTTTCAAGTAGTTAGAGGATGCGTGAGTCAGAAGCTCAGGCTTTAGGCTCCTCTACATGCATTTCCTACAGTTTGCTTTCTATGTGGAGAGGAGGTTAAATGACCTGACTTAGGGGCTACACCAAGGCCCAGGATAGGATAATAAGATAAATTATAATTGTTATGTATCATTTAAAGATATTCTAAGTCTATGAATAAAATATGGAGCTGGAAATGACCATAATAGGTGCTTGTCACGTGAATGCATTATTATTGCTTTGTCTTTCAGACCTACCAAAGCCAGGATGCAGAAGGTCACGAATATCGGCATCAGCCTCAGCTTCTTGCTGTACTTTATTTCTGCGCTGTTTGGCTACCTCACCTTCTACGGTAAGTCATCAGGGACACTTTCATTCAAAGGAAAGCATTGTCCCATCTCTGTTTTCATCTTCTAACTTTTAGCTCACGTGGAATCCGAGCTGCTCCTCAGTTATGATGCATACTTGCCCCGGGACACCATGGTGATAGCGGTTCGACTGGCCATCCTCCTGTCTGTGCTGCTGACTGTGCCACTTATACACTTCCCTGTGAGTAGACCTGCTTCATCATCATCATCATGATGATGATGATAATAATAATAATAATAATAATAATAATAATAATAATAATAACAACAACGATGCTTTTTCCACACAGGTTTGTTTAGTGCTTCTTTTTTTACTCAAACTGTGAAACTGAAGAACTGAACTGAAAATACTTGAAGGCTTTGTTGATCATTTTTATGTTGTTATTGTGATCAAGATGGTTTTATTTTTCAGTTCCACCTTTTTACTCTTTCACTTTATCAATTTAAATTTATTGTCGCCTAGAAAATTCATCTGGCTCTGTTACTGTGTTACAGCTGCCAGAAAAGCAGATTACTTCACTTTCCTTCTTTCTGCTTTAAGACATTTAGTTGCAATAACACTCGAGTGCTTTCAGCTTGAATGGGTACTGTCTGTGTCTGTGTGCTTGCTGCAGGCCCGTAAAGCTGCAATTTTGATGCTTTTCGGGGGGCGTGCCTTTTCTTGGCTGATCCACATCGCTGCAACTCTAACCATCCTGTGTGTGGTGCTGATACTCGCCATCTTTGTGCCTGATATCAGAAATGTGTTTGGAGTAGTAGGTATGTGGTACTTTGAAAATACTTTTAACATATGGGAGTGGGGGGGGGTGTATATCAATAGATATTATATTGTTCATAAATTATAGATATATTTTTATTTCCTTACCTGTAACCTTTTAAATATGAACAGGCATTATAAGCTGCCAATATCCCAGTAGCCCACAGTTATTGATTGTACTGGCTAGAACTGCAGTATCTGCTTATACATAATTGATGGCTGGAGTCCTGCTCAAACAGTTTATAAATCTCCTATCATGAGCCTTTCCTGTTTGTTCCTCAGGATCAACAACATCCAGCTGCCTCTTATTTGTCTTTCCGGGCATCTTCTACCTCAAAATCAGCAGGCAGCCCCTCAGGTCCTTCGACTCTGTTGGGGTAAATGAGCTCTTCCGTAAATAGAAGATCTGGCGATGAAGTTGCATACATTATATTTTGAGGTAATCTGGTAATTATTTCGATTTTTTTCTTTTCTTTTCTTTCTCCTCTCTCCCCTTCAGGCTGCACTACTCGTGGTCTTTGGCGTGATTATGGGAGTCATCAGTTTCTGTGTTATCGTCATCACATGGGCAAAGAGCTCCTAGCCCCCTTCTGGTCTCCTCCCCCAGACCAACAACAAAACCAAAGAAAATGAAGCGCGCACCAAACAAACTGAAAGTTGAATAAATAAAGGGAACAGCATCGCCCCCAGGCATTTATTTATGATAAAATTATTCTACATTTGTTTTTTTACGTTCTTTCCAATCTCAGCTCAATGTTTACATCTCCTGTACCGCACTGACCTTTGTACTGTACCAAATTCAGGGCAAGTCTTGTCTTTTTTTTTTTTCAAATCTGATGTGTGGGTTTGTGATACAAAGCTGTAAATTTACTTTAATGTGCTTGTTTTTTCATTTCTACTTGTTCTGTGTTTGCGATTTTTGCACTTTATGTAAATTATTGACCACCTGATGAAGATTACATCGAAGTTTACTGCTTTCCTAAATTTTGTATGTGACACTATATGTATTTGTAAACACAGTGGGTTTTATGAATCACATTTATTTTTTGGGGCATTTGTTTTGAGTGTCTTTGAGCTTTGAGCACTCTAAAATCAGGTAAAACTATTTCTGCTACATCGTCTACTGCAGTGAATGTGATAAAACCGGTGATCAGTTTGTTGGTTCATTATAGCGCACGCCATGTGGGCCTAATTTAAAATGTGTTAGATTGTATCAAATTGCCAGCACTTGATAAAAGAGACATTGTTTATGTAATGACATGTCAGTTTTGCTCTATTTAACCACTAAAATGTCTTTATCGGTTTTCTAGAAAGCTCATCAGTCAAAACATGTCTGCTTGTTTGATTGGCAGGCACACTGCTGACGCTGAGGCCCCGCTCCTCAGTTGTACTGTGGTTTTCAGCCTGTAGCTAATGAAAGCCACATGCTCTGTACGTTTCTAATCATGATGCTGTTTAGATTGTCTTCATGCTGCCTCTGGAACCTACGGCCACCCGACTGCTGCTTTTAATCTGAGGAATTAGGCAGGCTGGCCCCCGCCATCCCTGCGAGAAAGCAGCGGCTGCAGGATTTTCACGCCACCCTTTTTTCCTTTTTTTAAAACAAGGTTCGGTAATGCAGGGAATATCCCCGTGCTTCAATCCACCCCTCTTAAGGACACTCCCAGAAATAAAGGGCACCACAGCTGAACATATATATTTGGTTGTCATGAGGGGTAGAAGCAATGAAGTATGACAGCAGAAAAAAATACTGAAGTACATTTTTTCCAAATAATTGTAATAATTTTGGGCTTGAAGGAATAATTTAAAGAAATGCCAGTGAGAAAGTCCTCAGATAAAGGAGCTATAAATGAAGTGGGAAAACAACAGTGTTTCTGACAAATAGGAACAAATTAAGAATCCTGACCTTCTCCTGCACGGGATCATTTACAAACCTCTATGCTGAACGCAAAAGCAGAGCAAGATTGCCACCTGGTGTCAGACTGTCCACAGCAGTCCAGGTCGGCACCATTTCACAGAAACTCAGGCGTCCTATGTTTTATCAAAACCTAACTAGGTGAAGATAACCACATGCTCAGATATTTTTCCAGGTTTATAATGAGCTGGAAAAATGCATGTTAACTCAAACCAGAGCTGGGTTTTTTTGGGGTTTTTTAAAATGGAGATCTGACTGGGTCCCGAGTCCTCGGGCCCAGAGGTGGGAGTGTTTTTGTTTAGTTAAACTCACTCACACCCTGGGCCCATGTCCAGCAGTATGACAGCACCATCTCCCAGGGTTAAAGGATGGAATGAGCCAGCAGAGGAGCGATGGTGGGCCGGAATTAAGCTCCTGCTGGCAGCCGCCACTTTTGTATTGTTTCAAGAGGCGTCGGCTGTGTTCTTTGAAAATCATTTTCTGTTGTTGGAAATCAGGAGAAGGGTGAACCTGGTGTCCTCACTTTGACCTTCAGCCTACTTTGCCCATCCTGTGTGTGAAAACAGGCTGGGAACCACTGGATTAGATATGCAGAAAGTATTATCTACGTTTCTACAGGTGGCTGGAGACTGTTATCAGTGTGTCTTCTCTCTCCCTCCCCTCACCCCACCCAGTCACGGCAGACAGCTGCCCCTCCTGAACCTGTTTCCGTCTTTATTTCCTGTTAGGAAGGAGTTTTTCCTTCCCGCTGTTGCCAAGTGCTCGGTCACAGGGAGTCATCTCATTGTTGGAGTTTTCCCTGCGTTATTGTAGGGTCTTTACCTTACAACACAAAGCAACTTGAGGTGACTGTTGTTGTGATTTCGTGTCTTTATAAATTAAATTAAATTGAATTTTCTGTTGTGGTGGACATCAGAAACTGAAAATCTCAGTGCGGACAACATCTGCTTTCTGTTTGCCTGCATAATCTTGTTCAACAGGCATTCCTGGCTGAAAGGTGCTTCACATGAGCTTTTTAAATGCCGGTTGGCATGATGAGTGGCTGTCCTTGTTAGTCACGGTGGGGACTGCAACTCAGAAGAGATGCCATCAATACGCAAGTGTCATCACTGATGAAGTGCTCTCCATTTATTTATTTTTTTCCTCTTTCCTCCCATTCTCTCTGTTCCCTCCATCTACATTCACTCCATGCCGCTTTTCTGCTTTTAATCAATTTCCATGCTCTATCAGTAAACATGTTCTTTGTGTCACAGTAAGAGCATTCCTCACTCTGAGCACTCTTTCTGAAAGAGCACACGCTTTGGTCATAGGAGAATGTGACCCATTTATACTCCTTATTTCTTTATGATTTTTTTAAATATCATATTGCTTAAATAAGGCCTCAAAGCAGGAGAAAAACACGATTAGAGATCTTTATATGTGACATGGTGCAGTTTGACATCATCTGCTCCTGCTTTTCAGCTAGCGTGCTTCAGGCAAGCCCGTGCTGCATTTGTAGATGAGCGATGTCCTTCAGCCCTTTCACCAGGGGAGTCCCCAAAGCTGTGTATTAACTGAAAACCATTGTGTGCAGCAAACTCGTCACTTTCTCGAATAAAGGGGAAGAACTGACTGACACACGCATCACCTGCCAGTTCACAATAAGGGCCAACACAATGACTAAAAAAATAAACTTGACTCCAAGATTGCAGTCCCTATATAGTCCTCGAGACACAATACACCTCTGTAGCAGAGCCGTATGTTTTCAGGACTGGAATCAAGGTCAAGAGTGAAAGAGGAGGTTTTATAAATAAACAAGGGAAGTTTTACAAGGAAAAGCTTTGTAGTGGTTTGTCAATTTGGCATGTAACGACCAGAGGTTGAGGAGTAAGGAAGAGCGCCGATGGAGGCCCAGTGGTCAGCAGCGCAGTGTGGGATTCTGTTTTTTTTGGTTGGGAGCAGGGGTTAGTTTGTGTCACTGCAATCCCATCAGCCCTGCGCTGAGCCTTTAATGCAGCCCTGACGCCTTTCTGGCGCAGGGGCCACGCTGCCTCACATCTGGAGCCAATTACCCTGGAGGGGCTGTGACAGGGCCCCCACCATCCTCTACTCTCTGCTCCTCTGTCCAAAGCAGCTCACACCACTCTCACAGTTGCATTCTTCTTTTCACAACATCATGCTTTATTTGTCAGTCCTTTTCCTCTTTCTTTTTTTTAATTTGAAAACCATAACCTCCTCTACACTCAGAATCCCCCCCCCCCTCTAATAAGCTGATAAAGAAGAATAACAGGGCATGTTTGTGGCCGAAGGGCTTAAGAGAGCAGAGAGCACTACGTAATGTCAGAGTCTCTTGTTTGAGGCCGTGTGTGTGTGTGTGTGTGTGTGTGTGTGTGTGCACAGCCTTACCTGAGGAGAAGCTGGGGTCTTGTGACTGGACTGTAGCACGGGGGTTAGTCCTGCTGCTTGGACCCGATGACTGATGAGGGTAATTGAGTTTGTGGTAGTGCAGCAAGCGTGTTAGGGGTGTAGACTGGCCCCGTAGGATTTCTCTCACCGAGGTCACAAGCGCTGGGAATGGGTTTCACCATATCTGGACCATACTCTTGTTAGTTCCCGCCCCACAGTTTGGCACCAATGCTATGGTTCATTAGCTGCAGCTATAGGGTGTACCTGGGCAGAGAGCCAGGGGATTGAGCTGTCCTGGGTTACACAGACATAAATTGAGAGTGTAGACTGTGAAGCAAATGTGGAAACTCTACAGGTGGCTGAAATTAAGCCATATACAAAGAATCAGCCTGCTCTGAAAAAAGGAGGGGGGAGGCTTTTGGTAGCTGGCTTTGTGCTCGAGGCAATAAAATCTTGGCATTTTAAGGAGATACCTCAGAAGTGTGTGTTCATGCCTTTGTGTGTGTAAAGCATGCACATGTCTAATGTATATGTACACATGAAGCTCACAAGTCTGTGTGTTCTCAGTCTCTGGAGTCATGGAGAGCTGCAGACGTCTCCCATGGGTGCATAAATTCACGATTTGGCCGTGACAGCCTCTTCCAGAGAGAGAGAGAATGTTAGGCTGGAATGAGGGGGAAGCCATGCAGGGCAAAGAGCCACTGAGTTGGCAGACAGAAGGAGAAAAAGAGGGGGAACTGCTCGTAGAACAAAGAAAGAAAACAAATCATCCTGAGCTGTAAAAGTGCCATCTCTCGTTCTGGGGTAAAATATGAGCGAGTGGAAGAAAAATAGATTTTTAAAGTTTATCATAAGAGGGATGTGAGCAGAAAGGAAGAGGAGGGGGTGGAAGATGAGGGGGATCAATGGATTAAACAGTCTTACTCTGCCCTCTGCTGGACAGTTCAACAAAACAACATTGAGGCTTTGCTGAAAGCAGGAACACTTTTATGACCTTTCTCAAACTGTGCACAGAAATAGAACTAAAATACCCCGACTCTAACATGTATTTAAAAAAAAAAAAGCCATGTGAGAATACCTGAACATTTGCTCCTGCTGGTCGGGGTGATCTGCAACAAAAATTTAAAGGGGCAAAATGTTTTATTTTCAACCACCAGCTTTGAGAGTCCTGCCGCTGATTGCTGTAAGTGCACTGACACTTTTTGCACTGAATCAATCTGCTATCGGCCCGCTTTGGCATTACGACCTTCTCTTCTCAGTAAGGTCATGTCTGAGAGGCCGTTTACAAGACATCCTGGATTCAGGGGATGTGCAAGTTCTGGGACCCCAGCCCTTTATTTATAACAGCTGGACCAGAGAGATGTGGAGTCCTGACATTTGGCAGAGTGGGGTGAGAGGTCAAGTCTAACACCAATAAAGTGAAGACTTTGATCGTGGCATTTATGGATAGAGGAGGTACAGCACCCTCAGAGTGGGAGAGAGTGGTGTTTAAAGAATAAAGAAAAAGAGCACTCCTGCAGTTAGGTGAACCAGCCGGTCAAGAAAGAAAAAAGAAAAAGAAATTAAGTAGCTGAACTTTTACTTTCATTTCAGGATTTATTTTACAGCCCATTGCCTCCTGCTGGTTCACTGAGCCCAGTCAGAGGATGTCAACAAGCACAGATGTGCATGTAATAATAATTTGAATTACTGCTTTTTTGTGTGTGCTGTAAATATTGAGGAAAGTGCAGCTTTAATTCAAGAGGTTTAACAAAAATATTGCATTCCCTGTTCAGGAAATGCAGCCTTTTTATATACAGACTTTATAATTTTCAGGCACAAGTGCTATTTAAGTGCTTGCTTGACTGACAAGCACTTTCATGGCCAAGTGGAATCTGTTCTCTCATTATTCCATGACAAATTAAGCAGATAAAAATCTGTAGTTGTTAAGTGTTAACACAGATAGACAAATACATGTTTAGCACAGCAAGTGCTCTCAACATGAATGTCATGGTCCCCGTGTCTCTCTGGTTGGCCCACGCTGGCTACAGGTTTTGTTGTTGTTGTTTGTTTTTGTTTTCTTTGTCTCTCCTCCTCCTCTCTGCCTGGGCGGAGCTCGTTACGGGCTCTCGCTCTTGGCCCACGCACCTGTGTGATTGTGTCCACCTGCTGCTGATCTGGCTGATTTCCCCAGCTGCTATTTAAGGCAGTGGCACAGAGCAGCTCACCGCTGGAACGTTGAACCTCCTGAGTTCGTGCTCTCGGCATTTTCAAAAGAATGCCCTGTGTGTATTTTGCTGTGGAACTAACGTTAACTTCTGTGTGTAGATATCCCTCTTCTGGACCAAATCACGGGACCTGCCCGGGTGTGGCAGCGTGTGTGGAGTTTTGGAGCGAGTGCGGCTGAAGAGGAGTGCGTGTGTGCGGAGGAGCTGTGGCGGTGACTGTGTGGAAGAGGAAGCGTGTGTGTGGATTTCCCCCCTGCTTCTCTTCCTGGAGCCCTGGACCCCCCTCCCAACTCACTGTACATATATATATATATATATATATAGCACTGAGGTGATCCCTGTTGTAAATAAATCTCCTTTTGTTCTCTGAGAAAGAACTGTCTGCGCGTGAGTCCGTTCAGTAGCCATGACAATGAGGTCCAAAGATATAGGTAAAGGTGGCCATCATTAGTCTGAAACACCGGAATAAAACTATCAGAAAGATAGTAAAAGCTTTAGGAGCGGCCAAATCAACAGTCTGGTGCATTCTTATAAAGAATAAATGCTCCTATACGGCTCAGCATCTACCTGGAAACCACAGAAAACAACTAAAATGGATGATTACAAATGCTTTGCTTGGCTAGAAAAAGCATTCACAACATCTAACCAAGTCAATAACACTCCCATGGAGGCATGTGTATCATTGTCTACAATCATGAGAAGCCCTTGTGAATATAAATGCAGTTTATACAATGAGGTGGAAAGCACTGGCTTCCCCGAAGAGCAAGAAGGCCAGATTAGACTTTGCAAAAAAGCATCTAAACGGCCTGCACAGTTCTGAAAAAAAAAAATATATATATATATATATATATGGACAGATTAAATCAAGATTAACTTGTACAATTCAAATGGGAGTATGGAGAAGAGAAACAGCTCTCCTTAACATACTGTGGCAGGAGTGTGGTCTCTGGTATGCTGCAGTGGAGGGGTGGGGACAGGTGTGTGTGCTGTGACTGATGACTCTCTCTCCCTATATAGAGTGATGGCAGAGACTGACGGGGTGTGTGTGCAGTGGAGGAGCTACAGAAGGAGCTGACTCCTTGCTCGAGTGCCTTAGTCACAGCGAACTGCTAAACAAGCGAAATAAAGAAATGCAAAACACGTCAAACACTGTGTCTGTCGGGTGCTTGCTACACATGCCGTCTGTGATGGTGGGGGCAGTGTTAGGGCATGGGTATGTATGGCTGCCAGTGGAAGCAGGTCCCACTGTGGCTGCTGATAGAAGTATCAAAATGAACTGTGAGGTGTGCTCAGATTCAGTCAAATGCTGCAAACTGACTGGACAGCAATTCATGGTGCAAATGGATAATGACCCAAAGCATACTGCAGAAGCACCCAAGAGTTTCTCATGAAATGAAAGAAGTGAGTCAATTCGGTCACATGATCTCTGGCTAATAGAGCGTGCGTTTTAGTCAACTGGAGACCAAAATACCCACAAACCAGCAGCAACTCGGTTTGGCTGACATAGCATCTCAGGAGACGAAACACAGCATTTGGTGATGGGTTCTAGACGTCATGGAGTCATGAAATATTAAAAATGATCCTTATGGAGCTTGGGATGGGGATTGGTTATATGCTGTTCAGTAGTTCTCAAAAATCATCCAAATTGTAATGGCCTGAATGTATTGAGGTATGTCTTTGTATCGTTTGGTACTTGTTTTATTAGGCCTGATATGTCAAACTGCATGTAAAAACTCTATAAATAAAGAGGGGGGAAAGAGCCTTATGTATAAAATTATGTTAGTTTGTATAATTAATTTTGAGCTTCTGAGAATGACAGGCTCTATGTAAAAAAATATCTGCAATTCTTAAACAGTCAATTAAAGCTGAAAGTCTGCACTTCAATCAGATCTTCAGTCTTTGATTTCAGATCCCCTGCGGTGGTGCACAGACGCCAAACTGCATGAAAATACGTCACTATGGCTCTAACTGGAAGCACGATACTTCCTGCTTGCTTGTTTGGTTTAAATTACATTAGATTTTTGAAATATTTCTCATCATAACGTCCAACAATACACTAAATAATAAATATCAAGTCTCGTTCCAAACTCGTCTGTTTGATTGATTTTTACTTGGTGTGTCCTGATAAAATCCATTAAGGCTCTAAATATAAAGACAAAAAGTAGAGCTTTGCATACTTACTTATGTGTCACGTCTCATGTTCGTTTCAGGGTGTTTCATTGTATTTACTGATCTTTCATGGCCATCTACTGGATGAAGAGCAAACTGCAAACATAAAACTATCAATACACTGTGTAAAAGTACATCCAGTTCTTTATTTATTAGTTATTTGCATTGTTTTTCTTTAATTTAGAAACAGATTTTTTTCATTTGTTGTATTTTTTTTTCCCACTTCTGCAGAAGTGCAAGGCTAAGCTGTTGTCGGGAGCTCTGATGCGAGGGTAGATTTTCTTTGTTGACAGCCTGTGGTCAGCTTATCTGTGCTGGTTCTGATCAGAACTAATCAAGCCTACTCTTTATGGTTTTAGCAAGCTTTAGATTAAAGTATACTTAAGCAGCTGTTACACGAGCTATGACAACTGCATGTAAAAAGTAGCCAGTCAAGTCTGACAAAGAAAAAATCTCTTTTAAATCTTTTTAAAGCCTGATAAAGCCCTTGAAGTTATAAATGAGAAACTCGGACTCTGTAGTGCACGATAAGAGCCAAAGGGGCGATATTTCATCACAGAGTGAAGGACAGATGAAGCACCACAGCACCTTACACAAACAGAGTGTTGCATCATGGTCTATATAGTACCAGACTCCATTTTTTTCTACACAAAGAACTACAATACAACCACGTGACACACCAACCCGACAATTACAGGTTGAGAGGTTTGCTGATGTGTGTGTGTGTGTGTGTGTGTGTGTGTGTGTGTGTGTGTGTGTGTGTGTGTGTGTGTGTGTGTGTGTGTGTGTGTGTGTGTGTGTCAAATGTTATGCGGAACTTGTGCCTCCTCCCCAGCATGCTGTCGCTTCCTATTTACTGAAAGCATTTGAAGCAGGTTCGCACCGATACTGGCTGCAGCTTTTTGCGCTCACAGTAAACGCGCTGCACAGACGGTCAGCACAAAAACTTTTAGGTCAGGATGAGCTGACACCAAGAACTGTGAACAGATTTGGTCGTTGTTGACCTGAAGTGAGCGTGAATGACTTTTTCTCCATATTGTTTTTAAAATATTATTTTTAATTTGCCTGCTGTCTTTTTAACTTAGCGCATATATAAGCTTAGTAAACATGAAGTTTAACGGGTATCTAAAGCTCCGGATCGGCGAGGCGGTGGATCTGAAACCGACTACCTTCTCCCTCCGCCACTCTGTCATCTTCAACAAGGCTCCTCCAGCCATGGACCCCTATATTGTGGTGAAGGTGGACGACTACAAAATTGGGCAGACTCACACCAAGCAGAAAACCAACATGCCCACGTACAACGAGGAGTTCTGCCTCAACGTGAACGACGGCAAACAGATCGAGCTGGCTGTTTTCCACGACACTCCAATCGGATATGATGACTTTGTGGCCAACTGCACCATTCAGTTCGAGGACCTCATCGAAACTTCCAACACAGGGGAGACTTTTGAGGGATGGGTAAGTTTTAGGGTTCCCTTGTTTTTTTGTTTAAGTGAAACTGTCATTTAATGGCTGTTTAAGTGTTATTTCTTCCATTTAAATTTAGACCATCCTTTAACCATAAACATGGGTGGATTCGTCTGTCAGGATGCCCTGGGGCACAGATGTGCAGCTGGCCACACACCACTACATACACCTCACAATATGAGAGCAGGCCTGTGGTCTCGTACTGAGAACAGTGCCTAATAATAATAATAATAATAATAAGAAGAAGAAGAATAAGAATAATAATAATAATAAGAAGAAGAAGAAGAAGAAGAAGAAGAAGAAGAAGAAAAATAAAATGTTTTTATTATTAAAGTACACACACCTCCAAGCAGAGTTTATTGGTTCAACCCGGAGCCAAAAACGCCTCAGATCCAATGACAGTATGATGGCATTTCCTGCCATCATACATTGCCCTGGAAAATTAAATAACAGCCAGAATCAATATACCTGAAGGTCCAATACCAACAATACTTAGTATTTCCAGCATGATCACTCACATCACTTACAGCTGCCACATACCCAGACATGAACCAGTTCCTGTTTGCTGGAGCAGTAACTGACCCAAAGTTTCTGCCTGTCCCATCTCATGTAGCTTTATTGTAGTATATGTATGAGAAATAATGCAAAGGAAGAGACTTTTACAATTCTTTATAATACAGAAACTTTAGTGTCAAAAGCTCTTAAAGAAATTTATCACTGATCCACTTTTAGTTGGTAATGTGAAATGGGCCTACTGTTTACAAACCTATGGATGGCTTAATGGGAACATATACTTTTATTCTTATTTTTTGTCAGATATATATGCAATTTAAATTGCATATTCATGTTAAACAAGGCTTTAACTATGTTAAAAATGCATTATACAGACAGCTTTGAATTACTCAAAGAGTATCTCAGAAGCTAGTGTGATATTATTTTGATACATTGCCCACAATAACATTTGAATACAGTATTCTGTGTAACTGAAGGATAATTTTTTTTAAAGGGTGAAAAGCTGGAATTTTATATGCAGTACGTACACTGCGGTGTCACATTAGTGTATAACTGATTAGTTCAGTGAATTCTCAGCTGGATGTTCACCATCTTTACTAAAGCTTCTGTGCATTTTACCCTCATTCATTTGAGTAACACCCCCCAGTGTGTCTGTAATTGCATGGCAAAAAAAAAAAAGTATTGTAATTTTATTGACCCACCTGTACTGGGAATGCTAAATTTTTACTTTTGGCAACAAAAATGATACAGAGATTTCTTTATAGTCATCTTCAGGCCTACGAAGCCAAACTAAAGTCGTCTTGCTGCCAATATATATGTAAACATTTCAGTAAAACAGTGTTCTTCAGAAGTCTTACTGACACTTAATTTACTCTTGTCAGCAAATACCATGCTAGCTTTGTTAGCTTTGGTTGTTCCTGACAGCAGACCTTTCCCATGTCAGTCATGCATTGTATGCCAATTAACTGAAGCATGCACAGGAAAAAAGCTGTACATATGTTTTTTGCAGCTTGTGACTGAAAGACTTAATTGACCGAACACAAGAAAACAAACAATGCAAAGGGCATTAATATTTACAGATCAGTCACATGTTACACATGTTGTTCATGCGCTTATTCCTGGTTAGATTAAGGTTCCAAAATAAGCAAGTTAAGTTGAGATTCAAGTTTTAATCAAGAACAAACAAACCAGTGAACAAATGCAAAAATAAACAAGTGTTGCTCACAGGCACGCGGTGCTTCTCCTCAGCAGGCTTTCTCAACGCTGGCCAATCAGACAAGTGTGCTTTAAGTCAGTTTTTTTTTGTTTTGTTTTACTTTACAAGGGTAACTTTTCTGAATTTAAAGTCCCGGAATCAAAATATGGACCTTATGATGAAAAAAATCATCCTATATTTTCTAATCCTGCTTAAATTATTAATTTCTTTTATCCATACCTAAGCAATTTTAAGACAACGCTATAAGACTGATTAAAAATGTAGTTCCAGGTTGATTTATAGTAAAAAAAAAAGTTAACCTCTAAAGTCACATTCACATTAGGCGCTATTTTAACTTCACATCAGAGCTTTAATACTTTATGAACAGCGTTTTAGAGCAGGTTTAGAAGGCAAAGCCTGTTATTAAGCTCAGGGCGCTGTTCACTACACGCCTCAGTGTGTGACTAATTTTCCCTCTTTTTGTGCCTGAAAACAATAACACCATCCCATCTGCACTGAGGTCCTCCCTGCTTCTACAGGAGGAAGAGGTTTAAACAGAGTCCGAGATTTATTAACTCATTTTCAACATAAAGTGTTGGGTCAAGAACCTCTGTCATAAATGTTGCTCATACACTGCCTTAGAATTGTTATTGGCAGCAACCATGGTCACAAACCACACATGCAACTGCAGTGGGGAGGTGTTAATTTTACTTATAAGACCTGCTAACTCACAAGCAAATACAGAGAAGTACCCAGGCCTGCACGAGCTGCCTCTAGAGACATGTATTTTTATAACTTCCACACGTCTGCTCTCAGCTGTTTACAGAGTTTCACAGTTCACAAAACTTTGTCGATTGAGGCGTAAAAGAAACTTTGTCCAAAATTTTGTTGCTATAATACCATATATGCACAGTTTTCAGTGGAAAAAATGACCTCATGAAGCTTAAATTAAAGCCTTATGTGAAGTACCACAGTGGTTTCACTCTTATTTACACTGAAACACAAAAAAGTGCTTCTTGAAACTGGAGTTTCCCTGTTCAGACTTACTCTCATCCCTTCAGGACTAGAAGCCACTGCAGGTGTGAATGTAACCTGAGCATGGCCCTTACGCTGTCTCCTCACTTTCTCATTACGTCATAGCACATTAGAAACAAATGCCTCATAGAGTCCATTTAATGTGGCGGTTTTGTATCAATCAGCAATAATATGCAAATTGCAATATAATGCAATAGTGCTATAACCTTCAGTAGTTCTCTATCTCACATTTGGAAACAGCTCTGCCCTTGCACATAGCACAGAGGTTAATTATATATATATATATATATATATATATATATATATACACACACAGAATTACTAATAAGGTAATTAACTGATTTTCATGAGCAGTGCATGTATTTATTGGCAAGAATCAGCACTTTAAAGTCCCCTGAGAGTCGCATTTGTAGAGAGAAGCATGACTTTCAAGACTGCTTTTGCACACATTTACACCAAGACCCCAGAAGTGTAGGGGAAGTGGTATGAAAGTGGAGCTTGGTCTGCAGTTTTAGAAGAAGTGGCTGGTTAGTGCAGCTGACTTTCTCACTTCAAGACACAAATTCTAAGCCGTTATCCGCTAGATCTGAACTGTGAAGGCTTTAAGGGCTTTGTTGTGCAGAAGTGCTGGGCTGGTTTGTTTCACATGAGGCGCAAGCCTCCACACGCCCACACTGCTGTTTATCAGTCTTCTCACCAGGCAGCTGATCAGCTCTCTCTCTTACTGCTAAAATAGTTAGTCTCAGTTGGCTTGTGTTCAAATACTCTTCTTTCTGTGTTGCCTTTTTTTCTCTGTCTCTTCTTTTCACACCTTCTTGTGTCCAGGAAAGAAACCTCCACAAAACTCTTCGTGTCTTTTCTTCTGGCTTTTACTGGACTCAAAGCACAGCTTAAGCAGAATTCTTCAGGAAGTTACTCAACTCCTCCATTTAACCCAAAGGCGTTCAGAGACATTTAACATGGCATTTACACACACACACAAGCCCAGCTCCTTTGACTCCCACCTGCTGACAGTACCCAGCACTACTTTGTGATATCTTTTGCTTATTATTCAGTTGTTTAGCTGCTGTTTATTTTATGTGTTTGCTCTAATCAGTCTTGATGTACTTGTGGATGTGTTCATTCAGTGGTTTTTGAGGGTTACAAGCTATGAAACTAAAAGTGGGTTAAATGTGGCCCCTCAACATTTTCCACCACTGATTATTGTGCTGCTCGCTTGGCTGAAAAAGGGACCCTACCCTCCTCCCGTTTACAAAAAAAGAAAAAGAAACTTCCCTCTCTATGATGTAGCATTCAGTGTTCTGCTTTTTAACTACAGCGTCTTGCTGTCCTTTACCTTTACCCACAGTTATGAGATTACTTTAAGGTCTGTATAAAAAATGTGCACTTGCACAGCTTGCAATGGTTCCCTTTCTAAAGTAAGTAGAAATGTCTGCATGTCCTGAAATAGATGCAAAAGTCAAACCAAAACCTTGTTATCACAGATTGAATTTTCTGTAGCACCACAGTTCTTTATGTGTTTGTATAAAGATAAACAATATGGACACCTCCTTTAATCTGCCCATCTGCCCAATTGAGCTCTGTCACTCAGTGAGAAGGAAACAAATTCTAACCTCTTAATGTATTGTTGTTTTTTATTATTATTATTATTATTATTATTATTATTATTATTATTATTTATTTATTCACTTAAACTAAGCCGCAGTCAAAAAGGCAAAGATAACATAACACAAACACACACAGAGAGGAAGTTCTCACAGTGGACAAGTCAAACCTGTCGTCTAGACTGTAGATTGAGACAGGATATGAGCGGCAACTGAAAAGAAAATTGAGGTTTCTTCACTTCTTAACTGAAATTATCTTTTTCTTTTTTCATTTTAAACTTTTACACCAAGTCATTTTTTTCAGAGCTTACTATATATTTATACTCCGTGTCATCGTCTGGTTTGCTGTCAGTATTTTCCAGGAAGGGCTTATGTGTATAAATAGAGCTTTGCTCGACCATACGGTGACATAAAAATTTCCATCCAGTGGTTTCTGCAGGAAGGAAGTATCTCTTTCTGTCTGCTCATCTCTGTCCAGCTTTAAAGAGGCCAACTTATATATGCAGATGGTGATGCTGTTAATTATGGTTAAATAGCTTGGCACCACTCTCACTGTAAGTAGCCTGACATGTAAGACCTGTCAGGCCTGCTTTGTAGTCTTTCAGTCCCATTGTCCAGATTCCTGCGACAGTATGTACACTCTGAAGAATGACACAAAAATGTCGTGGCATAGTTGTGAGTCTGGGATAGTACACCCGAAGGACTCGAGCTCTATTTTCAATGCTATTTAAATCCAAACATTCTTTGATCTAACAGCTGTTTCTAAAACTCTAATATTTTTCTATACAAGTTTTATAACATTTTGTATACGTGTGAGGTAATGTATTTTTCCTACACTTTGAAATATAAGGTAATGTTTGGACATAAATATCGCAAAAATTATGAAATATAAGAGGTAAAATTTTGAATATACTAAGAGGCATTATAAATGCAACACTGTAACATTCCTTATATTAAAATCTGATCCTGGTCCCTGCTTGCCTGTAGCAGTCGTGGGATTAGGGATAGGGTCTCGTATGACATTACTCACATAAATTCATATTATTTATTTGTATGTATGAAAAACTGTACATCAGTACAACTCTGTGTGTGTGTGTGTGTGTGTGTGTGTGTGTGCGTGCGCGCGCGCACACGTTTATATATACATGCATACATACACACATGTGTGTGTGTATATATATATATATCTTGCCTTGGTAAGTGAAGACAAGCAGGAAATCGGAAAAGGCACACAGCAAAGGGCTGCAGGTCGGCCTCGAGCCAGGCGGTATGTGGTTGCCTGCTTACCCGCTGAGCTAAACCGGTGCCCTAGTCTCATTATATTTTACACTCTACCTGAATTATAAGACTCTTCCATGGGTCATGGAAATGAACAGTATGCATATTCGCTGATATTTTAGGGTCTTTTTTTTTGCCATAACGTCATATTTGCTCAATCCAGCACAGAAGATGAATGTGATGTAAATAGTTACGAATTTCAAATTAAAAACTGTTCTACATGTTTTATTTTTCCGTTCGTGTAGAATACTGTTTATATTTACATACAAAATTTATACTAGTTGTGTTCTGAAATGTAATTTCTTTATTGAATTATTTAAAGTTATTTTTCTTCAAACATGACACTTTAAGGACTTCTCACTTTTTTCCCCATATTGTAACTAGCCAATACTCGGTCATTTTGATGTATCTGTGCCAAATTACACACCCTGATTCATTTTTATGTTGAGAGAGGCTCTTTAAAGGTGTTTTAAGGTATACATGTTTTGCTTCGGATTTCAAGGCAGGAAAAAAAGGCCTGAAAGCGGGTGGACGGGCTTTTTTAAAAAAAAAAAAGAAGAAGAAGAAGAGGGAAGAAGTCACAGTTTTGGTCATATTTGTTTATTATATATGACCAAAAGCATAAAAAATTCAGCCAAATCAAAGGTCACTGAGCAAAAATCTTCTAAAAATGTGGTGATCTGAGATTGAACAATCTAAGTGTATATAAATGGCTGATTTGTTATTTGTGTAATATTAGTAAGCTAGTTTGGTTAAGCTAGTTTGGTTTGGATATCTCTGCTTCTAGCCAGATACTTTAGAATCGTGTTTCACTGTGGCAGATGTGTGTTTCAGTTTTACTGTCTGGGTGTAGTGAAATCATTTCGTGTCATGTCTTTGAATCTGCAGATGGACTTGGAACCAGAGGGCAAGGTGTATGTTCACATCACACTCACCGGATCTTTTGTAGATGGTATGTATGCAACGCACAGTCTAGTTGTTCTCCTCGTGCCTACATGTCAACACCCTCCAAGAGCAACATAACAGCAATGCCAGCTATTTAAACAATTCCACTGTGTTACCTTCACCTTTATTCTACTGTGAAACTCCACTTGCCCTTATGAATAATGATTATCTGACTCATTAAATACCAATGTCTGTCAATGCAAAGGCTCTGATAGGTGCGTGCGCATGCACGTGAATGTGAAAAGTGTTTGCCTTTTTTAGATGTCGACATCAAGGCGCTAACTTAAGTACAAACTCTTTCACCAATGAGACAAGGCCATTTAAATGAGATGAGTGGGAAGTGATGGTGCAGGACTGTTAAAGCAGAAGTTGATTAAAAACAACACTGGGCTACATTCTCTGTTGTTCCTGTCAGTTTTCTCATGTAGGTCTAAAAAAGGTTCTCCTAATGTTCTTCCTCTCATGTTCTTCCCTTGTGGACATAATCCACGTCCAAAACAGCTGAATCAAAAGCTTTCGCATCATTAATGCAATTGACCTCAAGGAGGATGCAGATAGCCACAAAACATCCAGTTCTACATATCAAGATGATATTTTGTGATAGGGTAGGTCAGTGTGGTTGAAATCTTTTTTTTTTTTACACTGAGACTGTACATCATTGGCAAATCTATGCCACCTCACACAAGTTCCCAATTAATTAATTCTCAGAAACAAGAGCCTACAGTCAAGAAAACACAGGAAAAGCAAACAGAAATGCTTAAAGTTGTGTGAAAACAAAGTGCACCTTTACTGCTTCCAAAGAAATGACTAGGGTAGCAGCCAAGTGCCGCTCATTAAATTGACTTGATTAACTGATCACCAGCAAGTATGACCAGCTTTATAAAAGCAGATTTTTTTGGAAGTTTGCTTCTGTGGAGTATTCAGGTGTGTGCTGAAATAATGCCAAAATCCTTCCAGGAGTGGACAGCTCAGCAAAATTCACCCCGACTGTCCAATGCTCAGAAAAACTGCAAAAAACCCCCAGAAATACATCTCAGACTTTACAGACCTCAGTCAGCATGTTAAGTGTTAAAGTTTATAACAGCAAAGTTAGAAAAAGACTGAACAAGAATGATGTGTTTGGAAGGAATGCCAGGTGAAAGCCTCTTCCCTCTAACAAAGAGTATAGCAGCTCATCTTAGGTTTACAAAGGGGCATCTGAGCAAACCAGGAGACTTCAGGAACTATGTCCTTTGGACAGACAAGACCAAAGTGGAGATGTGTGGATATAATGTACAGTAGAGCTGTGCAAGGCCGAACAACTTAGCAGCAAAACACAATCTGTCAGCACAAACACCTCACAACAACTATCTAGCACATTGGAGGAGTGATGATTTTGGCTTGTTTTGCAACTATGGGAACCTGGGCAATCTGCAGTTACTGATTCAACCCCGAACTCCTTTGTAAACTATTTTATTTGAAAAAGTGGGTGAATGGTTAGGTTTAGGACGTTATGATTAACCTAACCAGCAAATCTACAACAGAATGGCTGAAAAAAGAAAAGAATTAAGGAGCTGCAATGGCCCAATTGAATTCCAGACTTCAACCTGATTGAAATGTTGTGCCAGGACCATGAGAGCTGTGCATGAACAAATACCCACAAACCTCAGTGATCTGAAGCATTGCTCCACAGAGTCTCTTTCTTGATGTATAGATATATATTCAATGACAAGACCGTAACAGAGTAGCCAAGAGCACAATGAATAGCAACAAACACCACATCAAATGCATAAATCTAAATTAAGATGTTGTGTATTTTCAAGAAATACCTGTCGCCCGTGGAGCGCACTACCACCTGAAGCAAAATATATGTTGGACTAAATATGTGTAGTGTGTATATTGGGCTTTGCAGTATATGTAGAGGCTCTTAGTCTGAAATGAACGCCCCCTTTTCATACAATAACCACACTACATCTATGTGTTGTTTGCAGGGGTGGGGTGTGGGCTCAGCAAAAAGGTTTCCGTAATGCATGTGTAATGCTTGTGTGGTTTTGCAGATTTCTTTACTGACTTTCATTACTTAGGTCTAAACACACAGTTACAGTGTAGATGTTCACAACATAAATTACAATATGACAACTCTAGACTCTTTGTCTCTTTTATTCTGCCTTCCTTTCAAAGTCTTGTTTGATCTTTGACAGATGACTGAATTAATTTATTTAATAAAAATAAAATATATTGTGAATCATGCTAGGGTTATGTGATATGGGAAAGAAGTCATGTTTTAATAGTGTCAGGAGTTTTTATTTTTAGTTATGGAAAATTCTCTGTTAGACTTTTTTTTTGTGTAGGCAGTGTCTGTCTGTTACGTTGGCTTAAATGGTTACAAATAAGTAATATCAGACTGTTGTTTTGTATTCTAAAAATCATTCAGAAATGCCAGACATTTATTTGTTCCAGCTTATCAGGTTGATAATTCAGGGCTTGGTTCTTTTTGTTTTTGTTTTTTTTGCTTGTTGGTTGTCTGTCTTACTTTTGTTCTGCTGGTTGGGCAAAACTAATATATCATAGATGCCATCTTGCAGTTCATGGAAACAACGATGGCAATTTTTTACGTCATTTGTGAGACAGTTCATCAGTTGATTGAAAGATAAGAGGATTGACAATAATTCATCCTAAAAATAAAAAAGTTGTTTTTTTACAGTCCCTGGGAGTAGTCCTAGAACTGTGAGAGATAACAGTGTCTGCTTTTAAATGCTAATCGTTCCACCTTTTTCTTGCTTGTCCATACACTGTAGTGGGTGTGTAGAGGACATTTTTATGTGAGAGTGGCTCCCTGCGGTGCCCAGAAATATCCTGATGAAAGCTGTCAAAATGAACCAAAGAAGTAACCCAGACACCCCCTCGCTAAAATCACACAACCACACAGACTGTAATGCAGCACCATCACATGTAACTGTCAGATACAGTTAAATAATACGTCATCAAACTTCAAATCTAAAAGAACCAGAAAAATCACAAACTGTTGAATTAATGCAAAACAGTGATGTTGAGCTGAAATATCCTCAGAGTTGAGCAGAAACACAGATTTTAATAATTCATATTTCACATTCAAGTATAAATAAAGACTTTATATCCACTTTAAAGAAATCCCATAATGTGATAAATCCATTCTAAGAGTTCACGCACTTCTTCTGTGCTTTTTATGTTACAAACTTATGTTCTTGTCTTGTTGCCAGATGAGGCCGTAGTGAAGAATTTCAAGCAGTTTACAAGGAAGCGGCAGGGAGCCGTGAGGCGAAGGATACACCAGGTTAATGGGCACAAGTTTATGTCCACTTTCCTCCGTCAGCCCACCTTCTGTTTTCACTGCAAAGAGTTCATCTGGTGAGAAAGTCACGCATGGGTGATTCAGTGCTGGCAGCGCATCTCTGTGTAGAATGTAAACTGGATCTAAATGTGTTCTCTTTTATGTTAATAGGGGTGTTTTTGGAAAGCAGGGTTACCAGTGTCAAGGTAAGCAGAACTTATTTTTCTCTTTCTGCCTTTTACCACAGTTGCCTAAACACACCTGTGTTTGTTATGAGTCCGCCATTGACTCATTGTCTTGTCTTTGTTTTTCAGTGTGTACCTGTGTGGTGCACAAACGATGCCACCAGCAGGTCGTCACTGTCTGTCCACGCATGAAGAAAACAGCAAAAGAACAGGTAACGACACATTAATACACTCTAATCAGCATGTTTACTTCTAAATAATTGTTCTCTTTACAGATTTTTTTTTTTTTTGTTTAAATACAGAATGTCAAAAAAAAGCACCCTCCCCCTCCTACACACACATTCGCACACGCATCTGATTAACACCTGCAGTGATCAGTAGGCTGTTTCCTGTTTCTATATTCTGTCTAGACTGGTCACTGAGGCAGAACACTGTACTACACTATTATTTTCCACATATGAACACTATAAATTTTTATGCTTCTATAAATACATCCATGACAGTTTTAGCAGTTTGAACGCAACTATGTAGCTTAGTTTTGTTATTCAAAGGAGCTTGCAAAGAAAAGCGTCTGGACTTCTTTAAGTTGCTTGAAGACGTTTCACCTCTCATCCGAGACGCTTCTTCAGTTCTAAGGTCAAATGGTGGAGAGTCCCTTAGTTTTGTTATATTTTGCTGAATATTACAAGTCTCTCTTCCCTAAAATCTGACAGGATAATAAAAATTTATACGCTAAGCATGTTTATTTTTAATACACCATTTACAAATTTTGTAAATATAGTATAATCATCATTATATAATTCCTTTAGACTTATTGTCTCTTTTATGCTATGTTCCTTTAAAAGTCTTATTTGATCATAAGTGACAGAGAGTAATTGATTGAGTTTTTTGTTTGTTTGTTTTTTAAGAAATTAAACACAAGTATGAGGCATATTGTCAAAACAGATGAAATTCTTTTCATGGAAGGTGCTTGCACATTTTCTTCTTTGGAGCTCCACAGGGTAGCTGTCTGGGTCCATTACTTTTTTTCTTTACATGCATGGAAACATTATTAGACAGCATAAATTTTTGTTACTGTAGTTACACAGATGCTAGACAGCGTATTTCTGTGGAGCCAGGTGACAGTGTACTGAACTCATTCACCAATGTGGGTGGCTGACTTTAACAAATGGATGACTGCAATTTAAAAAAAAATTAAAGATAAAAATTTTGCTTAGTCCTAAAATAAAATGTGATCTGCTCATTTGCAAATTAGGAGCTGACAGAATAAAACCAAAAGTTAAGTCTTATGATCATTACTGTGATGCAAGCTTTAAACTTCTTCCATTTCAGGAAGATGTGTCTGACAGTACCAGACTCACCATGATTCTAAAAAACTTCTTCATGCATTCATTTCCTGCGGACAAGTTTGAATTTTGAATGTATTTATTCAAAAGGGACAGTGCAGATTAATCAACTTATCACGCAAATGTGCAAGAATGAACCTTAAACAGTTTTCTAGCTCTAGTCCCTGACAGGGCAGACAAAAGATAAATAACAAAGAAAATTAAAACACCATCAGACAGCGTACAACAATATAGTCCAGACAACAAATACATGAAATCCACAGTACAATAAGAAAACACAGAACAACAAATAAATATAAACACATACGGCATTAAAGATAACACACATTAGTATAAAATGAATGGTCACAGGTCTGGTTCCTTTTTAGCCATCATTTGAGATGAGTTTTAAATGTATTCTCTTATTACAGCTGGAATATTTTTCCAAATCTCACTACCTTTAAGTGATAACAGCTTTTTACTAAATATCATATGTCTAAAAGGTATTGCACAGGTATTGGTTGTTTTTTTTGTTTTGTCTTTTGCTGCAATGCTCTTTTTGTTGGACTTCCCAAAAAGATTGCGAGAAGGCTGCAGCTTACTTGAAACTTGACTGTGAAGTTATTAACTAAAACAAATAACAGAACACATCATTACAGTTTCTTAGCAGACTTACAATGACTTCCATTATCTCACAGAACTGATTTTAAAATAAAACTTCTTTCCCCTTTATAGGGCACTCATTAAAATACGTAGAAATTCAAAATTTCAACCCTCGAGTGTTATTGGAGCGTATTACAGGCCTTTTTTACTTGTAGGATGTTTTTATGTTGCAGATCAATGTCAGTGAAGTTAACATAGTAACATACCAGTTCCTCATACATTTAAAGGAACATTAGTGTATGAACATTTTTATTGATGCACATTGGCAGTTTCCATAAATGTAACAAACATAGCAAAGTACAGCCCTGAGTAGACACAAGCAACTTGCTTCCCAGTACCTGCAATAAGATCATGTGACTAAACATTTAAACTTTTCTACAAAGATAAAATTGAATTCTCTGAACTGAGCATGTGTGCACATCCTACTACAGGTGCTGTCCTAGAGCATGGCACTTATATAAAAGAGGCAAGTAGACAGCTCCACAAACATGAGTACATCTTTGAGACAATGTCCTGACATTTTCCATGTTTGTAGGAAAACCGAAACAGTAAAAACAATATATTGACATAGAAATTGTAACTGCATAACAAAAAGTAACAATTGCAATTATAACTACTCATTTTTATTACACTTAATTTAATCAAACTTAAATAAATCACAAATATTGAATTACTAAATTTATTTTAGCATTAATAACGCTTCCAATAAAAATAACCACTTATATTTGCAATTCAAGTGTAAATTAAAAAAACTGCTATGTCATAAGATGATCAAATATTTTACAATGTCTAGTCTTAAAAGTCTATAAACAGGTTCAATTTCTTACTATAGCTCTGTATAATAATATATACGAAATTGTGGAAAGATCCAAAAGAGCATTTAGTATTGCTGCTCTACGTTTAAAATAGAGTGTGGGGTTTTGTTTTGTTTTCTTAAAAAAACAAAAAAAACAAATATGGCTCACTAGATCCACCTGGTACATGTCTGAAAATTGCCTGACACTTGCACTAGTTTTAAGTAAATTCCACTAATTTCTAGAAATCTAGCACATTGAGTTTCTAGAAAACAACACCCATCCCAACATTTAGAAGAGCTATTGAGTAGGGAAAGTTTGGGAACAACCTACCTCAAAAAAATAGGGAAGCAAACTCTACAGATGATTTGAAGAAACACAAAAAAATACATCTCTTTTAATCTAGCACTAAACTAGTGCTATAATTCGACTGTAGAGCCTCACGTAATCTGGTAGATACAGAAGATAGGCATCATTATTCATCAACATATTGGTCTTCTGGTTCTATTACTTCCAAGATTGTTTGTTTCACAGGATTTTATTTATGATTTAATTTTCCTTTTGTTATTTGTATGTCTGCGTTTGTGGTTTTATATATGTGTGTAAATGTGTATTCTGATGGGTTTCTTGTTTGTTTAAATGTTTTAATATGTAAGTGACTTTATTTCTCATGTGTTTTTATACCTGCGAAGCCCTTTGAACTTCTACATGTGATGTTGGCCTGTGCAAATAAAACTGAGTTGAACTGAAAATGCATTGTGGACGATGCTGTTGCAAAGCAGTTTTACATCTCGTAATTACCGTGTGCTCTCTTTCTGCAGCCTATAAATCAAGGTTTCAGCATCAACATCCCTCACAAGTTCAACATGCATAACTACAAGTCGCCCACCTTCTGTGACCACTGTGGCTCGCTGCTGTGGGGGATTGTCAGACAGGGGCTGCACTGTAAAAGTAAGACTCGCATCAGCATTCATGTCTCAATATCTGCATCCAAAAGTTGTCTTTCATATAGAGTCACCGTTTCTGTGATTTCTCTCTTCAGTCTGCAAAATGAACGTCCACATCCGTTGCAAATGCAACGTTGCTCCCAACTGTGGGGTCAACAGTGTGGAACTGGCCAACAAGCTCGCTGAGATGGGTCTGCAGGCAGAAGGACTTGCCAAACGGAAATCAGTGGTACAAACGTCTGAGTTTTCCAGAATAACGGAACAGTTCTAAATCCTAATCACAAACGAGAGTGTAATCAGAAAATTGTCTTTTTCTCTTTGCATTGACAGGTGAAAAACACAGAACAGACGAGGACTCCATCTGAGGGGAGGGATTGTACGGAAACTCAGCAGCAGTTGCCACGGCTAGGAATTTCAGACTTCACGTTCCTTCAAGTGCTGGGCAAGGGCAGCTTTGGCAAGGTAGGAATGAGATAATAAGATTATAGGAAGTACTCTGTGCACTTAGTGTAATGATGAGCATTGGCTCATACTGGACAAAAATGGATTAGAGCAGCTTAATTCTAACGTTTGACTAATAAAACATTCACATGACCACAAAAATATACAACTGGCATTAAAAAACACTGAATTTTGATCTCCATATATTGAAAAGTGAGCAAACCCTTTCACCAGTGGCTAAAGAGATTCAAAAAAATGCTTGAAGAGTGTGTGTTGTTGAAATGCCTCCCCCACATTAACAACTGAGGCCTCAAAACGGTCACTTAAAGAGGTTAAAAGCTTCAATTATGAGTCCAAAATTTGCAAATAGAGATGGTTTAAAGAGCCAACTGCAACATGGTGGTTTGTGGTTAGCATTGTTTCCTCATCAAAACCCACACAGAAGGCCAAAACCCTTCTGGGTCGGTTTTAGCATGCTTGTGCTGGCTTCGTCCTCCAGTTTATCTCGCCATTGCAAATGTCTCGTTACTGTTCCTCTGACCGATGCACAGACTTACTCCGGGCAATGCACGATTGCTGCCCACTGCTCATAATATCAAGGATGGTAAAGTAGATAAAAAGCAGAGAATTAATGTCCCTGCAGGAATTAATAAAGGGAATCTATTAACCCTGACACAAGAAGAACCTCACTGTGTCCCTTAAGCTTGGACAGTCCACGATGCCAGTGGGAAAATGTTTTTGGCTGATTTGTTTTTGAAGATCAATGTAGCACAAGTACCATAATTTTTGGAGTTTTTATGTGAATTTAAGATATCTCACAAGACAATATCAGAATGGCTGCTCTGCAGATTACTGCAAAACCTTTTGTAAAGCCTAAACAGAAATACTGTGGAAGGAAGTCCTGTTCGTTTAGGCATCATTACAATGCGACTTTCTAAACAGCGCATCGGTCCAATTGATAACTAATGGAAACTGCTGCCAAAAAACACACTTTTAGCAAATACTAAATTTAAGTTTACTTGCCAGCACTCTAAATGATTAGCAGGTGTTTCCAGGAAGGACCCTAAATCCTGTCGCTGTCAAGTTTAGCACATTTTATTAGCAGTTAAGCAAATCATTCACTTTCTCACGTGGCTTTTCCTGTTACTATGTTTGTGTTACTCTCCAGGTGATGCTGGCGAGACTAAATGGCAGAGATCGGGTTTTCGCGGTCAAGGTGTTGAAGAAGGACATCATTTTGCAGGATGATGACGTCGAGTGCACCATGACAGAGAAGAGGGTGCTGTCACTGGCCCGCTGTCACCCGTACCTCACACAGCTGTACTGCTGCTTCCAGACACCGGTCAGTGAAAGCATGGCCGCACACTTCTTTCACATAAACTCATTTGTGACTTTTAGCCCTCTTCACTCATGAGAAGCTTTCACCCCGCCTTAAATGGCTGAAGATTGTGATGATGATGACATTTCTGCTGAAAAATAGAAGGGGATGTTTTGGCTCATGATGTCTGTGTCATGCACAGATCTTCCTTATGAGTGCTTTAGAAATGTCGTGGCCTCATATGACCTTATTTTCATTTTTACTGCTTTGCTTACCAGTAAATGATCCACAGAACTGGTTCAAGTAAGGGTCACGGCACTCAGGCATACCCTACTTTTGGTTTCTGGTGCTAAATGTAAATAGAAAAATATCGGTCTGTTTCCATAGATGCCAGTGCATCATGTGGTCAGAAGGTGGCAGCAGTTCCCCAATCTTATGTCTGTTCACTCCTGGCACAAGCCAGTGAATGATGCTTGACTGACAGAGCTGTTTTTCTGGCTCAGACGGGATATTTCTAATCTGCTTTGGTTGGTTGAACCACGACTGATTGAGATCGAAGTGAGCTTGCTGCGCAAACAGTTTCAAACCCAGACAAAACAATGCAACAGCTATTGTTCCACGAGAACGCCTTGTTTTATTTAAATGCCTGTCACTTGTTTCCTGACAAAATACTTAAAAGCACCTTTTATTATACCAGAAGTGTAAAATTGTTCTATATTTTGGTAATAGAGTCATTCAGTTCACACTAATACCACAAAATCACGTTGCAAGGGACAATTAGCGGCACTTTCTGCATGGCATATAGTTCCATTTCACAATAATTCAAACTAAAATATGTAGAATGTTTTTTAGAGATGATATTCCATTGCTAACTATATGCATATTTTTCATTTTCAAGGCCCACTTTGTAGGTACACTGATTGCCCTGGAGGAGTCTTCAGATTAAGTTTAAAATATTAAAAAAAGGCATTTAAATCGGCCAGCACGGTGGCACGGTGGTTAGCACTGTTGCCGCACAGCAAGAAGGTCCTGAGTTCAATTCCACCACCAGGCCGGGGTCTTTCTGTGTGGAGTTTGCATGTTCTCCCCGTGTTTGCGTGGGTTCCCTCCGGGTACTCCGGCTTCCTCCCACCGTCCAAAGACATGCAGCTTGTGGGGATAGGTTAATTGGATAATCCAAATTGTCACTAGGTGTGAATGTGCAAATGAATGTGAGTGCGAATGGTTGTCTGTCCCTGTGTGTTGGCCCTGCGACAGACTGGCGAACTGTCCAGGGTGTACCCTGCCTCTCGCCCTATGACAGCTGGGATAGGCTCCAGCACCCCCCGCGACCCTGAAAAGGATAAGCGGAAGCGAATGGATGGATGAATGGATGGATGGATGGCATTTAAATCGCAACAAATCTCGATGTAATAATTTTTTGTTTCTACAGATAAGCAAAAACAAAAGAGATTAGTAGCTCATTTCATGTGAGTATGCTTAAAAGTTGCCGTGTTTACATAGTAGCCTCGTTAGTCCGATACAAGAACCTAACCCTAACCACGACTCCTACCTGCAAGCAGGGATCAGACAGTCGGCATGCTGACCTCCGGCATGAATGCTTCAAGTACTGTATTAATAAAAAGGCTGCTTTGTTGTAGTTTTAATGTATTATATATATTTTAAACATAACCTGAATCTGAAGCAGAGGGTTTAAGAAGTGGAGCTGTGTTCATGTGTACAGGTCATCTAAAGTGCTAACCAGGAAATTAGTAGTAATAGACAGTCAGACTAATGTTCGTCAGGTTCCAGGATGAATGGAGAAACTCTTTGGATAGCAAAACTTTGGAAATCCCAGTAACCACTATATTGGCAAATTAAAGAGCTGATCCAGGAAGTGACGTCCATTCTTGCTTTTATGTTTGAGCAGTTATCTATGGAGGGGTTTAGTATTGCAAAGTAAATTGTCACGCCAGATCTCTGATGGCCTGACAAGTCAGTTTGACTCGTATAAGACAGAAAAACCCAGAGAGATTTCTTTGAGCCAGACCTCTCTAAACCACAGACCAGTAAAACAGAGTCAGCTGTGCCTCAGTACCCAGATCACTTCAAGAGGCAGATCTCTAAATCATGTCGTACTGCAGTCTTTTCCCCAGGTTCCCATTTTGTAGATCACCTATCGACCGTAGCCTGTAATGAGAAAGAAAGAAAGATTTATGAGTTAGATTAGGGTTTGTTTGGTTTTTTTGCTAACTTTAAGCTGCAGTTGGTTGCACAGGAACACATTATACAGGCATCTGAAGTTAATGAGAAGCAGCCATGTAACATCCTTGAAGCAGCCTCAGCATGTTTGGACTGCTTAATAACGTGGGAGCTTCTGTGTGCCCAATGGGGGTTTTGTGTGCACACGTGTAAATGTCATCTCCTAATTCTCACTGCAGGACCGTCTCTTTTTTGTCATGGAATTTGTGAACGGCGGCGATCTCATGTTCCACATCCAGAAGTCCAGGAAGTTCGAAGAAGGCAGAGCCCGTTTCTACACAGCCGAGATCACCTCTGCGCTCATGTTCCTGCACAGCAAAGGCATCATTTACAGGTATAAATACATAAAGCAATCGAACTAGCCTTTATAGCGAGCTCAGAGCTCACTACCATAGTTTACTATATTTAAAAAAAAACTTTAATATCATAAAGAGTGTAATATTACTGCAAAGACACTAATTATGCAGTTTCTTCTCTTGGATGTCGGAATCAATTTATTATCAAGAGGAAACTGCATATATGATACATTAATCATGTGAAGTACTACATGGCTGTGAACACTAAATCAGAACATTGCAATCCTGAGACTCATACGTCACGTTAAAGAAGACTGCCGCTGAGAACCATCCAATGAAAATGTGCTACCAAGCATACTTGCAGGTTTAATGAGAGTTTGCTTAATTCATGCATTAAGCGGAGGGTGTGGAGGTTCTCTCCCAGGAAGCACTCCATTTCCTGCTCTCTGATTCATCTTTATGCACCACTTTTGCCTTTTCGCCATCAATTTGTGTTAAAAATGTCTTTATTTATATATAAAAAGAAAAATCCAAATTTCAAGTTACAAATGATAAAATCATATCAAGGAGGATAATGCTGCTAAATCTTGTTGTGTCAGCGCACACACACGCAAGCACACACAAACACACACTGTACTACAAACTACGTTCAACACATCTAGTGTGTCTTTGCATTCGCTGACTCAACAAAGCTTAAAACCGAAGCTGAAAGTAACGGATGATGACAGTAATTATCATCTTTCTCTGTTAAGTCAGACTTTCTGCTTCAGGCTCTAAATATAAAATATATATTTTCCAGCAGCAGATTTGAATCAAGTAAAACATTTACACATTTTCTGCATCACCTACTTAACAATTATATGCTTCATTCAGCAGTTTTAGTAGGATACAGATTAACGACGTGCACAAATGAAGCGTATTCCTCAAGCTGAGAATCTATAATGAACTTAAAACATGCTGTAAATAAAAGAATAAATGAAAACTTGCCACTTTTCACTGTTATGGTTTCAGCATAAACTACCACGGTTATTTAGGCAGGCAAAAACAGAGGCAGGCAACACTGTAAATCCAGTCTGGGGCCTTCCTGCGTGGAGTTAGCATGTTCTCCTCGTGTCTGTGTGGGTTCTTTCCAAGTACTCCAACTTTCTCTCAAAGACATGTGCAGGATTACGGTGATTCTAAAATGACTGTAGGTGTGAATGCGAGTGTGAATGGTTATGTGTTTCTCTATGTTAGCCCTGTGATAGATTAGCGACGTGATCAGAGTGTATCCAACACCTCTTTCCCCATGACAATCAGGATAGACTCCAATACTCCCTGTAACCTTGAATTTGATAAAGATTAATGACACAGAAGACTCTGACAATAATGTTGCTACGCATAAACGCATATTTGTGTTTATGCGTGTATCTCATCCTGAGCTGTGATAATGTTGTTACATTTTAGATTCCTGAGAATTCTCATCTCTATAGAAACACACTGTGTCCACACATGTCAGGCTCTGTGACAGAACGCCAGCTTTTACCAAGAATTATGAATAGATGAACCAATAACGATCCCCCTTCCTCAGCTTCTAATAGCTACATATATTCAAAGACCTTTTTTTCGGACTGTCCGCTCAAGGAAAGTCGAGTGGGAAATCTTTTGGTGTCCTGCCAGTACATAATGAAAAAGGAAAAGGAACATCAGTAAATCCTGAGTTATACTTAGTAGTATGTCTGAGTCTCCTTTCAGCATGCACATCATAGCATGACAGCAAGCTGAAGAGGTTGCATGCACCTTGCGTGCTATAACTAAATAAGTAAAAAGCATCCAGAATAGTAACTCTGACATCAGGCAAGTGTGGGAAGAATAAAATTGTAGCCTCGGTCCTTGTGTTGTGTAATATGCATGTCTTTTACACTGTGTGTGGGGGTTTTTGGCTTCAGGTAAAGGCTTTGAGGCTTTGAAGCTTCTCAGTTGACGCCACAGCGTGTCCTTGCGTTTCCTGTATTTGTCCTTAAAAAGACGTGTACAGTTCTCGAGGTTTCAGTTTGAGGTTTTAGACATGAAAACTCAGTTTTGCAGTCTGAATCCACACTGGCTGCTTTTAAGAGTGAGAGCACGTTTCATGAGGAGAGCCAATTAAATCCACAAGGATTAAAAAGGCTGTATGGCGAACAGCTGCTCAGTGTCGTGCAATAAACACATGCTTTGTGAAGCCTGTTTTGAACTCCGCCAGGGAGGTGTTGTGTGTGTCTTTGTTTTGTCCTGACCCACATATGCAAAGAACAAGTAAATTCAAGACTGAACAAAATAGATAAAAAAATACTCAATTTTTTTTTTAGGCTTATGCAAGTTGTGATATATATCGCATCCTTAGGTTGATGCATAACATTTTAGGAGCCTTTGATAGTTTGATTAGACTCTTACCATAATGAAAAAAACAAAGTTTGTGCGTCAGAACTTTTTCTGAACTTCCTCCTCTTTTCTTTGGAATCTCTTTTATTAGTGCAACTCTATCTCCTACTCAGTGACTCATTTTGCACCGCAGCATTTTTTTTTCTGCAGACATCGCATTGTTTGATTGACCTGTTTCCATCATCAGTCGTTTTCGCCCGTGCACTGCAGCACTTCCATTTTCTCTGCTTTAGCAGGTGGAAAATGCAGGTAAACATTACATTAAATTAAATCAAAGAGAGTACTGGCAGTAGTGACAACATTTTCTCTCCTGACATCGGCCAGAGTTCATGTGTGAAACTGGCTCAAGTCAGACTTGTCTCTCCCATGTGGTGAAGTCGTTGGATGAAGGAGCTCATACAGGATGATTAGGTGCAGTGAGTGATGTGTGGTTCTGTGTAGCTCAGTGATAAGAGGCGGTTAAATTTCCCACTGGACACATTCATACTGAAAAAAAAACCCAATAATGGTCCAGGAAATGGTTTGGCAGTGTGCGAACGATTATCAAGAAGCAGAACTGGCCATATAACTGGAAGAGCTCAGACACCTACTTAAAAATACTTTCCCCTGCGTCCAGTTTCCCAGTTTTGTTTTCCTAGCTGTGATTATCCCTAACACAGCTTAACACAGTCTGTGTGTACTTTGTGATGTGTGAGTGTCAGAGCTGCTCTCTTTGCCATGTTTTAGACTGTGTGTGATCAGCGTTACACAATCGGCTTAAGATAGAGAACGGCAGACTAGATTAATCGAACCAAACTGGTTCCTGACCCTCAGTCTTTTACAGTCAGGCTTTCTGTATTTTGGTTTTTCTCATCCTGTTATGTATACATTAACAGTATCACTGTCCAGCTAGGATCAGGCCATCTATGTAACACTGTCTGAAGTTGAGTCACCTGATCACAGATTAGAGCTTAACTCCAGAGCCCACACTCGACAGCTGTAATCGCTCTGTCAGCTGACGTGAACACAGGACAGGAGATTTTTCCAGTGTTTGGTTTGGAGACATCCCCATGCACAGCCAGCAGAGGGGAAAATATACCCGTGGAAGGCATACTGTGAAGACGGTGCATATTAGCAGTGAGTGGCAGAAAAAACAAAATGCATCTTTCTATCAAGTGGTCACAACTTACGTATTTTGCTTTAAGCTAAGCCTGCTTCACAAAGGCAGAGCAATAAAATGGAATAACTGGGAGAAGAAGTTTTGCTTTTCTTGGGAGCAGAATAAACACAGACACTTTTTCCCTTGGTGTCAAATATGCAAGGGTTTGCTTTCATCCGTGTGAAGTGCATTTCATCATCAGTGGGTGCACAAATGGCTCTGTGTGGTTCTCTGTGTACCATCCAGTTTGACTCCGTGCAGATGGTAAGCTACAAGGGTTTAACCCCAGCTCCAACGATTTTTCTTTTTTTACTGGTTGCCAGTTAAGGGTCAGGGAGTTGTCCGTCAGTGTCTCCCTCTGCTTTAAGTGTCACTGTCTTCAGAGAACTATTTCCTTTTGTCTCACCACAAATTTCTACCTTCCTCACATATAATTAGAAACAAGACCAGCAGGATGCGACTGGAGTCTGAGCACTGAATTGGATTTTTGGTGGCTTATTTCAGGCTTCTGATTTATAGGTGCTGAATAACAGTCCCTGAGCAAATACCTCATCTATTTGTTCCTTTTTGCGTTTGCCTTTCTTTTCAGGGATCTAAAGTTGGACAATGTTCTTCTTGACAAAGACGGTCACTGCAAATTGGCAGATTTTGGCATGTGCAAGGAGGGCATATTTGAAGGTGTTGCCACGGGAACGTTCTGCGGGACCCCGGATTATATTGCCCCTGAGGTCAGTTTCTCCCCCCTACATTAACCAGCAGAAAACATAGTCGGCACTCAAAATAACCGATACTTCAGCTCCAGATTTATAATAGAACATTTCATATATTGAAGCAATGTTTTCACATTTCCATTTTTAAGATGACACTAAAGAATAAACTTGGCCATCTTTAGCTTCCAGCAGCTCAGGTTCTCTGAGTTCATATGTTTAATTTCCATCACACCACCACACTAAGAGCAAACATTGTGGTCGCTGCCCGGCACTTCAAGCTCCCTCCCTCCTGACTGGAAGGCAGCACACCTGTGAGGTCAACTTATTGACTTGACAAGCCCAGATTTCCACTTCTTCAGAGGCGTGTTTGGCTTTCATAATGAGGAATTAAGATGGCCTGCATCCTCGTGTTTGAGAGCTTTTTCTCTAACCAAGAATGTGCATCTGCGTTTATGAAAGACCCCTTTGCTGCCCTCAACACTTACTCCTCAGTGTGTAGCTCCGCTAATCCAGCACATACCCCTAACTAAACTTCATAAAGTGGTTTTAAATTTGCTGTTGAGACTCTCTAAAATCTCATACTCATGCTCAACTTCATTTTTCTACTCTGACATGTTTTCACAGATCCTGCAAGAGATGCTGTATGGGCCTTCTGTGGATTGGTGGGCCCTCGGGGTGCTACTGTATGAGATGCTCTCTGGACATGCTCCTTTTGAGGCGGAAAATGAAGATGACCTCTTTGAATCCATCCTCAATGAAGAGATTGTTTATGCCTCTTGGCTCAGCACAGAGGCAGTCAATATACTGAAAGCTGTGAGTCTGCCAGGAGTAATATCTTTTATTCACATTTTTGCGGTCACCAGCAATAAAAATTTAATGATAAATGGAGCTGGGTGAAGGCCAGGTCTCACTCTTCTCAGACCAGCGCCGTCAGACTGTGTTTGCTTTATACAATTGCAGGAAATGTCAGAACGGCTTTTTTTTAAACTCATGTAATGATAGAGGAAATCAATTTGTCAGTGGATTTGTGACATCTCTGTGGAGAAAAACGGATGAGCATTTCCATGCCTGGATATTGTATCAGTAGCCAGATTCTTGTCTGTCTGCCTGACTGACACCGTCTGACTGCAGAGTGAGTGGCAACCCCACACAGTCTTCCAGCCAGCTGTTTGGCTGGGGTCTTTACATAACTATATTAAGGCATGGTTCACTGCCCAGCCACAGCACACAAGCTATAAATACAACTGCACCTCCTCTCCATTCCTTCTCTCTCACACTGTTCTCCTCGTGTCCTTGTTGTTATTCCCGCATGGCTGAGGAAGCACCAAATCAGTCTCCCCATGCCGATTTGTCATTGCCCCCCACTATCACACGTTACTGACTGGTGTGAGTGGATTTTAAACGCTGCTGCTCTATTTTTACTGGAGGCAGATCCATTGCCAAGATCACCTTGTTCTTAAAAGGAAGTTCATGGAGCTCAGTTGTCAGGTTGTTCAAGGTCGTGTGAGAATGGCTGCAGAAATGTCACGAGTTTGTGAGTCATGGTGAAAATACCTGAAGGCTGGTAGATGCCAATGGTCAAGTTAAACTATCACATAGCGCTGAAACAAAGCGCTTTTGATCGCTTTGTCCAGCCCAGCATCAACAATCTAAAAAGAAATAAATCTAAAGTTGTTCAATTTATATTGTTGTATAACAGCAAACCTTTCATTTCAGGAGCTGGAAGTGTTGAATTGATTTTTCTGCCAGCCGACCGATTGATTGACTAAAAGTTTCAGCTCTAATATTCCCCGCCTTCCCGTAAACGTCTTTTTTGCGAGTGTAGAGGAGAACGGCTTCTTCATGCAGAAATGCCCACATGGCAGGTCTGGCTCTGAGAATGGCACAACTGGCGTGCAGCCATGGAAAGATGGCATCAGCTTTAGTGGAAAAGTTTTTCTTTGGTTTTGTGGTCAGTTTGCTCCTGAACTGAGTCACCTCTGCTACTCTGTCATGCTTACAGTTAACTCCAATTCAAGCACCATACTGGTGTCTACTGGTGTGCCTTTTTTCTTTTTTCAAACATGTTTTAATTCAGTAACTGGAAATAATGTCATCACAGCTGCAAATCCCTGAGTTTAACTGCTGTAACCTTAAACCTTTATTCATTAGCAGTGATGAGTATAAAAGGGACAAATGCAACATTTCAACAAAGCATGTTTTTGTCTTAAAGTACAGTCACAACCATGGGCTGATGCAGTTCAGTACATAGATGTACAAAGGAAAAGCAACGGGTGAAAAGGCTTACATGAACAATAACTGTGCATCTCCCAATCAATCATGTTGGAGGCGTTATTGGCAGAGACACTGACTACAGCAGAGCGACACACATGCTGTTTATTATATAAAATTACGCATGGCAAGGCATCAGAGTTTCATTAGTCTCTATGAATCCTCGTTATTGTTCATTGTAGCTTGATGCTTTTGGGACACCTCGCGTCTTTTTGGGCATTGCCCCATCACCTCCGCAGCTGCTTCCTCATTCTCTTGGAGCTCAGTATTGTTGAGACATGCGGTTTTGTTTAGGCAAAGTCTCTGGTAGTTAATATCGTTTGGAGCTGACACAATGAGATGTATTAATCTCTGTATTAATCAGTGTCTTCAGGTTAATCTTAACACTGTCACAATGGAGACGGGGACTCATTAGTTTGCTATGCTGGGTCTGAAGGTCACCATTATCCCTGAGGTGCACACAGAGTCACCATGCGAGACGGTTTTCCAAAACAAAGTGGTGTTTTTTTTCTGTTTCCCCCCCAGAGGCAAGTTAAAACTATTTTAACTTTTATTTGTTTTTGTTTGGGCTTCTTCCTAAGACCTGCACCACCTACCCGACCTTGGTCAGAGAGAAACGGTTAAAGTTCAATGGCTGATTTAATGAATACAACCCCAGGAAGTTGAGACACCTCAGCTGCACTTTACTGAAACTAGTTGAACTCTGGCCAACTAAGACTTTGTGGGAGGAGCTTAACACAATTCAGGGTGTGTGTTTTTTGTCAGTTGAGAGGGAAGGACTCACTAGATGAACTTGAGCCCTGTTTGGCATCCCTCCAGAGAAATCTAATCTGATCTGGTGCTACACATTTCCCTATTTTGCACCAACCACACAGTCATGGTAAACGGAAAGCAAACTCGCTTTATATTCTGAAGTTAACATAACAAAAATAATTTGGCATTTAGCAGCTCTTGCTAAGGTAAATGCATTCTCACATGATTTCCAAAACATGACATATTATACTGTGGTATTTATTTAACAGAACCTAAGCAAAAATCCCAAAACAGTGTGTGAAAAACTAGGTAGACCCTTATTGCTTCCATAGGAAATAAGAGGATAAGTAGCAGGCAGTTGCTGCTAAATCAACATTTGATTAATTCTTTTTTTGTCAGGAAGTATAAGCATAAGCTTTGGCGCTGAAGCATTCAGGTATGTGTCATCACATTGCCAAGGATGAAAGACAGCAGCAATGGTCTTTAAAAAGTTGTTGAAGTTGCTGTCCATCAATCTAGGGGAGGGTTACAAGGCCATTTATAAACAATCTGAAGTTCATTATTCTACAGAGAGAACGATTATTCACAAGAGGGAAACATTCAAGACCGCTGCCAATCTTCACCGGAGTGGAAGTCGCAGCAAATTAAACCCAAGGTCAGACTATCCAATGCTCATAGAAACTGGAAAAAAACCTCAAAAGCTACATCCCAACTCTACAGGCCTCAGTTGGTGTGTTAAATGTTAAAGTTCATCACGGTTCAATTAGAAGAAGACTGAACAAGTATGGCTTGTTTTGAAGGGTTTCCAGGAGAAAGCCTGTTCTCTCTGAAAAGAACATGGCAGCGCAGCTTAGACTTGCAAAGTTGCATCTGAACAAACAGACTTCTGGAAAAATGTCCTTTAGACAGACGAAAGTGGAAATGTCTGGCCATAATGCACAGTGTCATATTTGGAGAAGACCAAACTCATAACAACCGTCAAACATGGTGGTGGAGGGGTGTTGATTTGGGCTTTTTTTGCAGCCACAGCACCTTGCAGGCCTTGAGTTCACGATGGACTCTTTATACCAAAGTATTCTAGAGTCAGATGTGAGGCCATCTGTCCGACAGCTAAAGCTTAGATGAAATTGGGTCTTTAATTCATCAATTGTTTTTAATTCATCCGCATTTTATCTTCGCAGCTCTTGACCAAAAACCCGGCACGGCGTCTGGGCTGTGTGCCCACAGAGGGTGGAGAGGAGGCTGTGACCAGCCACGCTTTCTTCACAGGTATCGACTGGGAGAAGCTAAATCGTAGAGAAATTGAGCCACCTTTCAAGCCCAGGATTGTAAGTCACATGATTTTATTGATGCTAAATGATAATCGGTGTACTCACCAGACATTACGCAGTGTATGATTTTGTCTCACATTCTGTGTGTGTGACTGTACTCTATTGTTGTCCTCCAGAAAACCCCGGAGGACGTCAACAACTTTGACCCAGATTTTACTCAGGAAGAGCCCACGCTCACGCCCATCGATGACCCTATGATCCCTTCCATCAACCAGGAGGAATTCAGAAACTTTTCCTTTACTTCACCTGAACTGCTGGAGAATTAAGACTCAGAGACTGATCCACTAGCAGTCGTGCGGTCACCCTTACTCTTCTCAGTGTCTGTGCATTTGCCTAAAACATTTTCCACTGGCATATAAAACACGGTGCGGACACATTTCCCAGAGATATAACTGTGCGAAAGTTCCAAGTGGCCAGCCAAAACATGCTTGACAAGGACCCAAGCTGCACTTGAACTGTAAGAACTTGTACCTCAGACCCAAATGTGGAGTGTGGCCAGCTTTTGAAATAACATTTAGTTTTGGCTTCATTTACACATTCATGCAAGTGTGTATGTACGTGTGGACAGGATGTATTTTATTATGTTGTATTCTGATGAAATTGCTTCTATTTGCTCAATTTTTGCTCTTTTGCTGCTCAGAGATGGGGGGGAAAAAATTGGGATCTAAATCTGCTGGAGATTCCCAGAAGAGTCAAAGTTACACAAATCCTGGAATGATTTCATGCACAGATGGAATAGTTTCTGAGTGATGCGTCTCCACTCTGGAAAAAACACAAATTCACACAGAAACAGCTGAGTCCATCCACTGTTAAATAAAGGGTTAAAATCACCTGAAGCCTGAAATATTGGTTTTGAAATGAGATAAAGGTTGAAATTGGGTTAAAGGATAGAATTTCACTGCACTGAATTCCCGATAATAGAGTATTTGTGTTTTTTTATTTGTGGCCCACACCCAGTAAGAAAAACTTGGCATCCGTCGCAGTGATTCTCCATGTAAATTGCTCCGCCAGGCATGTAGACGATGATGCAAGATTTCATCTGAGGTGAAAGCAGCTCGATGATTCATGGTAACTGTGAAATATTGAAAGTCTGTAGATTTCACAACACTGTTAGTGTATTGTCCAACTGTTGCCAGAGTGTTTGAAAGCTTCCAGCACTTTCTACAGACCTGCTTGGATAAGTGAATTCACGTTTTTGTTGTTTGTTGTTTGTTTATTCTTATCCATAAAAAATATAAGAAAAACACGTAAGTCTTGAAACCCTGCAGTTCTGTGCTGTGCGTCTAGTGGAGGGCCAGCAAACCAGCAGAGAATAAACAGGAAACCACACAGCGTCACTACTGTCGCCTTTGCTAGAAAAAGGAAGACACGAGAGAGGAAAAAGTGATGCTTTTTTTCAGGGGGGTGACATTGAATTCATATATAAATGCAGTATTGTATACTGCATGATGTTGGAAATAAAAGCAAAAACTTTGAAAACACAATGACAAAAAAGAAAAGAAAACCCTGTGTTGAGATGAATCTCTTTCCTCCGGAACTTGCACAGACACGAACAAGCCCAGCCCTCCAGGACGGAGTCTTCCTGTTAGTTTGAATGAGGAAGTTTGGGTCTCAACATCTGTTTATCTCTTCAGCTGGGTGTCCTGTGGAAGATTCTGTCTCTAAATACTGCACATTAGCACCTTAATACTCGGAAATGCCTCAAAACGAAGCCTCCTCTGCTTTCTGAGCACAGAACAAACCTTTTGAGCTAAGGAACCTGCTTGAACCTGCTATGTTGGTGTGGTTTTCAGTCCGGTTCTCCCCTCTGAGTGAAGCAACACCATGAAATGAAAACAAATTTTTATGAGTGATTACCTCGACCCTTTGACGAAACATGTCAGAGCAGTTGTCCATGATGAAAATAGCTCCATCCATGTGGCATGATGAGGGACTGGAAGCTTACATGAGTATGGCCTCCATAGCAACCCATCTCAACCCAAAGAAATAGCTATGGTGACGATTCTCCACCACCATCATTAAAAAATCAAATGCAGAAAGATCTTTTGTTAAAATGATGGTGTTTTAGCTACTAAACTGCACTGAAAACTTTCCTGGTCCAGCACAACTTGCTGCCTGTCTATACATTTGAGCCAGTGGTGTGTCACAAATTTCTTCCCGTTGCGGTTCAAACCCCTGTTAAGCCTCTGATCACTCATTATTTAGAAGAGCCTTGATGTGGACTTTACAGCAGCCCACTAATCTACATTAAGCTTTCCCTAACAACGACGGTCGACATGTGCTATATAAAGCATAGGACACTGGATTAAGCAACTTTGCTTATTGTTTATCCTTTGTTGTGCCTCAGTTTGGCAGCTTTCCCCAGGTTGTGTCTCAGTGAAGGAGAGATTTATGAGCTTTCCTTCAGCGTTCATTACTGAGACTTCCTGATAGCTGCCAGCAGTGTCTCTGCAATGACTGATTGAATAAGCGTTTGACCCTGCTGTCCTATGCATTTGATTGGTAACCCCCAAAGTAGCGACCGATAATGGAAAAAAAGTCTCTCTGCACAGACGTCACATAAGTAATTCCCTATAGAAATCTATAAATCAATGGCTTCATTTTTGTCAGTAAATGAATAGATAATGGCCTCATATTCACTCTGACCTATAGTTAATATAAGATCATTACTCATAAACTCTTAGAATTTACGTAAAGTGATTCAGACAAAGAAAACTGCTTCCTATCAGATGGTGTCTTTTATAACAATGACAATGCAATCTTCCTTTTGCATTTCAACACTTCTGTGAATTTTAAAGTGAAAGGTCATTGTTGACTTTCATGTTGAATAGTAGCATAATGAGGCAAAATAAACCTATAAGCTCAGTTAGTGTTGCCAAAGCACATATTGCACAGCTATGTTATAAAAAAAAAAAAAATCCATCAGATTTACATTTAAAGGACGCAATAGGCATATAAAAAAACCCACACACAATTAATCCTATGTAGACATGCATGGTTTACTTTAAACTAATTTCCTCAGGTCTCTCTAGTTTCTAGGTCTAGTAATAAAGGATTTTATCAGGATTTAACTTCAATTTCTACACTTTTCTCTCTTTTTTTGCCTTGTGTAATGAATAAAAATGTAACCCTCCCAGGTTTCAATATGAACCGTCAAGATAAAGTTCAATTCAGGGGCGTTGTGCCACACACCCTTTATCTAACGGGAAGTCACTGCAAAGGCTTTGTCTAACTATCGTGACCAGATGCAACAATCAATATGTGTTCACCTAGTAGCATTGTAAGGCAACACAAAGAACAAACTAACCTGCGACTAACTTTTTCTGTGATTTAGAACAGAATCGTTAGTCTACAAGTTCATGAATGTATGTATACTTTATTGATCCCCTTGGGGAAATTCCTCTCTGCATTTAACCCATTCAATCAGTGAAGCAGTGGGCAGCCATTGGGCGCAGTGTGTAGGGACAGTGCCTTGCGCAGGGTAGCCGTTCGGTGGGTTTGAACCACCGACCTTCCGATCATGGGGCCAACACTCTACCTACTGAGCTATCCCTGCCGCCCCAAAGTAAACATAAGTTTAGTTTAGTTAGTTTTTGGTGTAATTGAAGTTACTTTCAGAGGTGATTTTCTGGTTTCAGTTGAGTTTTAAAAATATCTACTGTTTCCATCCATCCATTTGCTTATCCTTTCCAGGGTCGCTGGAGCCTATCCCAGCTGTCATAGGGCCAGAGGCAGGGTACAGCCTGGACAGGTCGCCAGTCTAACACATAGAGACACAGACCTATGGGCAATTTAGATTAACCAATTAACCTATCCCCACGCAAACACGGGGAGAACATGCAAACTCCACACAGAAAGACCCCGGCCTGATGGTGGAATTGAACTCAGGACCTTCTTGCTGTGCGGCAACAGTGCTAACCGTGCCACCGTGCTGCCCTACCATTTTCTTTATATGTGTTTTATTATTATTTCTTATAATATGGATAGTATTTGTTAAACACAATCTTAGGAGTGAACCGTTGGTATAGAGGACTGTTCAAAAAGATGGATGCAGACACTCACTGTTATGGATCTCTCCTGACTTTCTCCATACAAACTAATGATCATTTGAACCCAAAATTTTAATCTTCGATTCAACATTACATACAACCTGTTACAAGTGATGTAATTTGGCACATCTCAGCGTTTTCTCCCTATTTCTCTTCCTTAACAATGGCTTCTTGATAGCTACCCTTCCACTGAAACTGATGAGGCTTCAGTGAACATTACGTGACTCAACTGAGGAGTCAGATAATCCTCTGTAGGTCCTGTGTCAGGTCTTTGCAGAATTTTTCCTATTTCTTAAGGACATGGCTTTCAGATATTGTTGCTATGATATACCAAGTTTTCAGCAAATAGTTCTTTGGAAATCATCGCTTTGGTGCCCATCAAACTGTGTTATCTTTGGCATTTTTAACAGATGAATCTTTAAAAATAACTAAAAAAACATGTTTTTCTTACAGGCTGATAGTAACAAAACAATATAAAAATTTGAAATTTGAAAACAATTTGAAAATGGTCAGGTATAACAATTGGATTGTCAGTGAGTAAAAAAAAGCAGCCAATGTCCAAGGAAAACCTTGGAAAGACCTTCACAAAGCCTGGAGAGCTATTGCTCAAGACCACATTAAAATTTACAAGAAAGTCGGTCTCCTTGGAAACAAAATATAAAGACATGAGGCTTTTACACTATACTAAAAGGATTATAACACATTGTGGAGGTAACTACAAGCCATAAAGTAAAAAATACAGACTTAGTAAATATATTTGTATTTTATTGGTACATACAGTGTTGTAGCAATGTGAAAAGACTAAAGTGAAAGACATTTGGTGTCCATTATTATGTTGTCATAATTAGCTCTTCTAAGTACATAATATTACTTTAGTTATTTTTCAGTCCAGTTATTTACAGTTAACCAAAACGTTTTTTCATACACAGTTTCCTCCTTTTTGCTTTTCTTTTACTATTATTTTTCATTTCCAAAGTAAAACTGAATCACATATTTCATTGTAAAATGAATTCCACAGGGTGAAGGAGGAGGTGAAGGAAGTCTGATTGGACAGAAATATCCAGAGCAGTGGAGGAAATTTACCAAGCCCGCCTCCAGGACCAAAGAAATCCTCATCTGCCCTTGAACTTTTTAACTTCTAAAGTCTAATAACATTTCAGAATTTTTCCTGGCTCAGACTCAAGGGGCGACACAACAGTAAACTTACCATCAACGCACAATAAAGCAGTGATTCTGATCTTTTTGTTTGTTTGAACAAAGAAACTCGAATATTATAAAACAAACAAACAAAATGTTACAACACTGAGGAGTTTTGTTAATGTCAGTCCTTTGTTGGGTGCTAAAAAGCCTGTAATGAATTGTAACTGCATATAAAAATACTGGTGCATAATGATATTATTGTTTAGGCTTAAATACAGTGCTGTGACACTATTTGTGGTATAACTCACTGTGACTGTTTATGAACAGCTTTTGTAAAGAGCTCTACATTTAACACTATTTAAAACAGTGCTTTTTTTAATTTTATTACATGTGTTTATTTACCTCAGAGTGATATTTAGCTATTAACAGTCGCTGTATGTCTCGCTGTTGTAGGATCTTCTTGAAAATTACAGCAATCTGTCGTTTGTCGGTGGGACGCTCGGATTTCCTGTGCGCGTCCTCGATGCAAAAAAAAAAAGAAAAGAAGCGTGTGACTGCGCGTCCGCGGAACGGAGGAGGAGTGAACACTTTTACTCTGAAGCAACATTGTCTCGGCAATTGAACGTCTCTCCAGCGTGGCAATATTTCTGAAGGAAAGTCGACGGAGGATCTGTTTTAGCGGTCGAGAGTTTGATTTGTTAAACTAAATCCACAAAGAGAGGACTCTTATGCAATCCACTTAAGGATTTACGGACTGATATCGGTAGGAAATCGTGGGATTTTGGTTCATTTCTTGACGGGCCCGAACACAGCTCTATACCGATAGAGAGACTCCACACAGGTCTTTTCGTCCTGAAATGGACACAGGAACTGTACCCGAAAAGAAGAGGTAAGAGCAGTGCCGGCTAATGCTACGTATGTGCCCAGTTTTTAAGCATAACTGGAAAATGTGTCTCTATTTAACGTTTGGTTATTGTGAGACCTGCGACACTGTGGCCTTTTTTCAAGGTTAGAGGCTAGTTCGGTGTGTTTCGTCAAAATGTGTCGGCTAGCGGCGCTGTTAGCAATGGCTAACGCAGCTAGCCTACAAATGTAGGTCAACCTGATAAAAACTATCAAAAATGTCGAGTTAACAGGTAAACAGCATCAACTGGTCACTACCCTTTACATCAATCTAGACTTCTTCTTTTTTTACTTAGATTAAATCTGCGTTAAATAAGTGCTACTTAGCCAGCAACGTTTTTGTTTAAGTACATTGCTAAGACTTCCTGCATGCAACATCAGCGTTATTTACAT